CCCCCCCCCCCCCCCCCCCCCCCCCCCCCCCCCCCCCCCCCCCCCCCCAACCCCCCCCCCCCCCCCCCCCCCCCCCCCAGGAATCAGTATTGAAAAACTTTCGGTAGAGAGATTCGATAGATCTATTAACTAGTAGTAAGGTGAACGCGTGAACAGTAAAAATATGAGAGAATTTCGTCAATGAATAAGAACGTCTCATATGCTACTGGAATATACACTTCAGATGAATTTCTATTTACTTTTGTTTACTAGATCAATCCACATCGACAATTTTCAGCTATTCAAATTCGTTATGGTGGATGTAAAGGTGTAATATCTGTCAATCCAGATTTAGACACTGCTTCTCATCAGCTACGTATTCGTAAGTCGATGAGAAAATTTAATTGTTCACATGATATTCTTGAATTATGCCGAATATCTAAACCTCGTAAGTTTTACTACTGTCTTGTCTTTGTTTTATATAATTCATTTTGTCATTTTAATCATTAAGGACCACTCTATTTGAATCGACAAATAATCGTTTTACTTTCTCACCGTTCAATCGACGATCGTACATTTATCTTACTTCAAAACGAACATCAACATATGCTATCTGAATCACTTGTTTATCCTCCACGTGCGTACGAATTATTAAATGAAAAATTAAGCCGAAATTTATTTCCATTACGTGCACTCATCCACGATGCACAACTAAATTTAATTCAAGAACCATTTTTTTGTCAATTATTAATTACGATCGGTAAATTTGAATTAGCACAAATGCGAGAACGTACACGTTTAAAATTGCCGAAGAATTTGGCGAGAAATATGATTGGCATTGTTGATGAATACGGAGTTCTAGAATACGGACAAGGTATTTCATTAATAAAGACAAAACAAACGAATAAACATTTCAATTTTTCAATTTTAGTTTTTATTCAATACACAGAATTAACTGATGATTATATGAGTAATAATAGTGAATCAGAAAAAGCAACTATACTTGAACAACAAGTCGTCGTAACAAAAAACCCATGCCATCATCCAGGCGACGTGCGAGTTTTTAAGGCTGTCGATGTACCTGAGTTAAGACATTTAAAAGATGTCATTGTTTTCCCACAACGTGGAAAACGGCCTCATCCGAATGAAATCTCTGGTTCTGATCTTGATGGTAATTGAAAACATATTACGGTCGATAATCGAACGTTTTATTGACTTGTTTAGGTGATGAATATGCTGTTATATGGCATCCAGCATTCATTCCTCAGACACCCAATGACATTCCGTATGACTATGATTCACACATCCCAATGAAACGTATTACTGATCGCCCTATCAATCGTTTGGATATTCAATCAACTGTATTAGACATAAGTGAACAATCATGTGTCGGTAAATTGTGCTCACTTCATTTAGCTAATATGGATCTTTATGGTGTTGCACATCCAAAAACATTAGCTATCGCAGGATATATAGCTGAAGAACTAGATGCACCCAAAACAGGACAACATCCATTGGCACCAAAACAAATTATGGAATTACAAGCTGAACTAGGGAATGAACGACCAGATTATTTTGATAAATCATATTATAAATCATATCCGTCGAAACATGTACTTGGTAAGATTGCAAATACAAACTTTGATATGAATATTTATGTTAAGGAATAATTTCAATACTATCTGTGTTAGAAGCCAAGGTGCTCGGAATTTTTTCGAAGAAATCTTTAAAGATATAAGATCCAACGTTCGATAATATGAGTTCTATGGAACAGTGTTTAGGTATGTTAAGTCGATTGCAGTAGAATCAGTTTTATTTTCCTGACTCGTTGTATCAGTAGGAAAACTAAGATGAGACATGTAAAAATGTCCGAAAGGGTACTCATCGCAGTTCTCCTCCTCAATAAATTCTTGGATCAATTGAAATTGAAAGACATGAATATCAATCTTATTCTAATACGAGTAGTAGTGCTACATTTTTATAGCGATTCAATAACAAAATAAAATATTTTTCATCAAACTATTTTAGGTCAATTGTATCGTTCATGTCTTCGTTTTGAACCGAACTGGATAGCAGTTCAAACACCACCAACAACTGTATATGCATCTCCTATAGATCAATTACTTATTCATGATTTGCATACTGAACATACATCATCAGTTCAAGAATTAGCTCGTATATATCGTGAAGCTATAATGGATATAATGTACGTTTATCGTTATTCGTCTGATGTGGATTTACTTTGCCGATATGATTCAACATCATCAAAATATAACGCTCCCTTAACGAAACAACAAACTGAATCGACGTGTCTTGTTGCCGATTCAGCACAAGTTGAATTTAAACAATTAATGCATCGTATACGTCGGCTATTCTATGAAGATGTGAGTACTTGTGATAAATCAAATTTACGTCGTTGTTATCGAACTTGTACACAATGTGCTGATAGAAAAATGGCTAAAGCAAGTGCGTTGTATATATTCTGTTATACAGATGTAAGCCATGCAAGACGAATTTTAAGCTTACCATGGTTATTCGCACCACTGCTCATTGAAACACGAAAATTAAATATAAAAAAACAAACAAAATTATGTAAGTTAAACAATAAGACATAGTTGTTCATCAAGTTCTTTTTAAACGGATTTACTGAATAATCAAAGAATGAGATTGCAGATGATGAAGTGAATCAGAATTTAAGTTTTATCTAATCATTTAAATATAATCTCCAACAGTAGATATTCAAAAAGAATTCCACTTTTTTCTTTCTAGTTTCTCCTGCATATGTCGCACAAATGCTTGAGATTCAACCATATCGTATAATTGGTCAAGCTTTACAACAAGCAGTTCAATATCTTATTGATACAAATGTACCTTTACATTTTCATAATATCTATTCACCGGAGACACCAAATACAATTACAGTTTCTCTCCGACCGACCATAGCAGCCAAACGTCTCGTTCTTAAACGTCAAATATCTTTACTTGATTATCTAATAATCGAAATTCTTCATCATTATGTGCACAGTTCATTGTCAACAAAAAGTTCGTCCATAACTGAATCGAAGCCAACACTTTTGGAGTCGGTCTGGCAACATATTTTAACATATTTTATTATAAATGAATGTTCACCATTAGCACTTTCAACAGCAACAAATACAACGAATTCATCTATATCATCATTAATAAAAGATTTTAGTTTCTGGTCGGATGAACAAGCGTACACAACATTGCAACGATTTATTAAAATTAGTGCTCAATGTGCTGATCATGGACCAGAACCAACGAAATATGCACACGCAAATGAATATTTAATTTCGGTACTTCAAAAAATGGCTACAACTGGCTTTCTATTTCCAATGTAAAAGTCTAAAAGAAAAAGAAATAAACTTTCGAGTATAACTACCCAGTGATTTGCTTGCGTAAATTGACATGAAATGAAAATTTAATTTTGTATTTTTTTATTCATTTTTGCTGTTACCGGCATTTATAGTTTCTTTTTTTGAATTTAAAAAATAATAAAAAGAACACAGTAATTTTAAAACAAAAATCAGCTCATTGGTTTTGAGGATAAAATGTGAAATTCATTGGTCTTATTTAGTTTCTTTATAAGCTCGGGACCCTGCTAAAGAGGCTTCCAGAAGCTGTTTTTTGCCATAGCCCGATGTATTTCGGGAAAAGAATTGGAATTAATCGAAAACAAAACTATTTTAGAATATATTTTGTGAATTATTATTTTTACAGCGACATTATTAATAAAATATTTATCTCATAAATGGAACTGATTTTAGATCTGTGGCTAGTACAGGCGGCTCAGACACATCGGCATTATCAAAGTGCACCGAATGCAACAGGATTCGGCAGGTTTAAACAGATTTAAAAAATATTCAATCGTTTCTATACTATACAAAAAGGATGCATCACTTTCATGAAAAACCGACGGTAGAGCGCACGTTATACCGAATGGTGAACCGTCGGTATACCGCCGGTTTGCTTTTCGGTTTGAATCTCTTCTTCAGGCGATATTAATGACTGAAAGAAGAAAAACGTTTTTCTAATCATATTGTAATTAAAACAACTTACATTCGACAACAAGTAACTTTCCTTCCATTCTTCCAACATAATCATTCACAGTAACATCGTGTTTATTTTCAGTGACGAAAAAGCAATACATTAAGCAATGCAAATTAATTTTTGTCGACAATTTAACGTGGAATCTTTTTGGAAAAGTCAGCTATCAGTAGTGAAACAAAAAGACATATGGACGAAATACTGAGACCGAATAACTTGGAAGTTTTCAAAAAGCTAATAAAATGTGTAGACGTCTAGAAAAAAAAGAAGGCTCTGACATCAAATGTTCACGTTCAATAATTTTATGTTCGAAATAGAACAACAATGAATAATATTGAAAGAAACAGTCAAAGGAAAACACGTCACTAAACCGACATCGTTTCTTCATACACGCGATTTCAAAGCGAGATCAACTAACAAAACACTTTCACCAGCCACTTTCATGAAATAATGGTAAACGAGAGAGGAAAAAAAAATATGGTATTTTGTATGTATACTATATAGTAATTGCCTTTGAAAAAATAATCAAGGAGTGACAATTGAAACTAAAAGATCAAGTAGGGTAGAGTTTAGTGTTCACATACATGACCATCTGAACTATTTAGATATTTGATGACACGAATTTCATTTTGATCAAGGCGAAGATAATGTCGAGCAATGCATTTGATTAAGCATACTTGTTGCTCCTTTAAATTATCGCTAAACAAAGAAGAATGAAATATCTATCGTTTTGAGAAAATGATCACTTACGAAGCAGATCACGAAATCTCGACTATGTCGGGGAAATTTCATCGAGTTCACAGATTCCGATAAACAATCATATAAGTTGTCAAGTTCTTGAACAAATATATCCGATATCTTCATTTTTTCAATATCCTATGAATTCTCGTAATCGATGCCAAAACATTTAAACATTTCATACACCGTTGGTGTTAGAATTGGTGTAGTTATAGGTATTGGATTCAACGCGAGATCGACCATTTTTCTGTACATTTTTTGAGTAGACATAGGTGTCATCAAGCAATCCACGACTATGTAGCACCCCTTTATAATACATCAGCTTGGATTTAGCCTCTTGATTCTGGTTGACCGCCGATACCCAGGTGAATGAATCCTATATCGGATTTAACCAGCTTATAAAATCCGATGGGATACCAGGTCACGGAACCACTAACGGATCCGACGGAAGAAAGCATATTTAATTATTGACCACTAATTAGTACCTCAAGCCAACATTAGAAGGTAGTCCGAGTCGAACGTTGGATCCGTCATAATCTGACAGTAGGATCCAATGATTATACAATGTTATTCCGACACTAGGGATCCGAATGTTATTCCACAACCCGGAATCCGATAGGAATTCGCTGGTGTATTGGAAATTTATATAAAATCCGATCGGAATCCTATTGGGTCCGATTGTCGGAATGATCCTCCTAGGTATATACAATTCTCCAACAAGTTCACAATTATGTGACTTCTCCTTGATGGCATTCGATTTTTCGTCGATAATATTCAATTTCTCCTAGAGCAGTCGTTCATAAATATCAGGAATGGATTTTGCTGTTGATAAAGATGAAGGATTCGATGAAAACAGATGATGGCGAGTTTCATCACTAAAAAATGACGAGCTATTTGTAAATCGTTGATATTGTTAAACTGTCACTATCAATCATTTCAACAAGCTCTAAATCAATAAGAAGACACGTATAAAATTATTGGAAGCAAAAATGTGAGAAATGTTTTTTATGAAAAATCTACAGACATTTCTATCAGAGTATATTTTAGATCGACATTATATGTTTTTAAAAATGAGAAATTTCTGAGTTCCACATATATTCAAATTTCTGTTAAGGATAAAAAATCTTATGATTTTCTTTAAGGAAAACAGAATGAAAGTGTGTGTATTAGTAAGTCGTTAGAAGTTGAAATTTGTTCAACTGACATTCATCTATTGTCAAGAGATCCACCAATCTAATGTTCATCAATGTAGCTATACATTATATTTCTTCAGAAACAATGAGCTTCTAATCGATATGATAATATATTCAAATTCATTGTTTGTATTCGACGCTTTCACATACAATTAAGATTTCCTATATGACGTGACTTTTATTTGATTTCTATTATATTATTTTAGTCGACGTTCGACTATGAATGTACAAGCACATCGTAGATGAGATTTTCTGAATAGAGGGATCTTTCTACGATGTCGTCATGTGCTCTCGTTCTCATGAAGTTTTGTAACATTTTGAGAAGAACTTGAAAACAAAGAAATAGAATTTTCTTGAGAAAAAATCTCAATTAAAATATACGTCCATATTAGTGTAGAGCAGCTGCTAAAGAAATGTTCAAAACGTCTACAATCGTGAACACGTTCAATTGCTAAACTTTCATGCATGACGGTAGAAAAATGTTGAAAAGAGATTACGAGTGTATAGTCTGCATACTATGGTTTTCTTCAGCATGCCAAAACAGTGTGCATTTGTGCTCTGCTTGGCTAGGGTACCGTTGATCTTGTTTTTCAAGGTTCACTTTCTCATTAAAAACATATGATGCGTTCAGAGAATATTCCAGGAAACTCGATTAAGTGCTAGGAAACCAGACTTAGCAGATATAGGAGACATAGGAGATATATTTTTTTCTCTTTCATCTCTTAATTTAATTTAATTATAACTCAACTAAAATAAAATTTTCTGGGCAAATATTACTGATATCAATATTTCTTTTTTGAGCCTTTGCTCGTTGTTTATCAATCTCCTATATCTCCTATCAGGGGTGTAAGCCAGGTCTCAAAGTAGAGAGGGGGGGGGGGGGGGNTTCAAAACCCCCTATAATCTATATATCTCTATATCTGTTATATCTGCTATGTTTTGTTCCCAGCACTTAATCGAGTTTCCGGGGATATTCTCGGAACGCATCTAATCATTAAAAAATACTGATTATATGCTTTGGCGTGCAACTTATCCAAGATCAAAGAATCGATTGAAATTAGATTGTTCTTGAAAGAATTTTTCGATGGGAACGTTGCGTCGCAAGAGCGCAAGAAATCCTTGGTATAAATATGACTCACCAATCGGATCGGTATCATGGAATTGAACGAGTATGTAAAATAAGATGGCAGTGAAGAACTCAGGTCGAGGTTACGGAGTCCATATACGATCGTAAACGGTCGTATACGCTCCGTTTGTCCCCGTATACGATCGTATATCACCGTGTCGTATACGGAGAAATACGACTATATACGGTAAAATACGGGCCATACGTAGATTGTATACGGACTCAATGTACAGGAATCGTAAACGATCTTTTTTTTGTCTCCGTATATAGCCGTATTTTTCCGTATACGGTCGTTTACGACCGTGTCTGTTTGACCTGAGAAGTGGTTGTGATCTATAAATAACAAAGTATAAAAGCAAAAAATTTTGTATAATAATAAGATGAATATGGGAAAGAATATGAATATGATATATTTTGCTGTGTTTTCTTCGAAAGCCTTCCATCAAAACGGAAGATAAAATTTTCAAATTAAAAAGACAAGAGTAACAAAGAAATTGATCCTAGATAGCTATGAAACTAGTAGATCAACGTTCTTAATAGAAATCGAAAATAGGATGTATGCATACACTCTGTTTTCCCGTGTAGCGTGTAACTGTACGCTTTGTTTCAGAGATCGCAATGCACAAAATGTACAAGTTAAAATGTTGATTTCTATTGATAAAAAATACTTCTATTAAAAAGTCGCTTTTATTTTGTTCCCCATATTGATGAGCGCGCGAAAACTTTAAAATTACAAAATGTAAAACGTTTTGAAAATGCAAGGAAAACAGCAAGATCTCACTCAATGCAAGATATTAACTCACATTTTCATCAAACATTATTTATTCGCACTAACAGATATGTGAATACCTAAACAAGAATATTACAAAAGATATCCCAATGATGCATGCATAGATACAGTTCAAATAATAATATTCATTCATTTACTCAATAAATTAATATAAAAAAACTGTAGTTGAAGAGCAGTAACATGTAAATAAGAAAATAATGAGTATAGGACTGCTACGAAGAACATTACCCGATTTTTAACAAAAATCAAATTTATTTATTCGAGCTTTCGATAGGTATCTCCTATCATCATCAGGAATGACAATACAAAAAAGAAAACTATGTTTATATATTAGATATGAAATGAGAGATCAAGAAGAGTTAATTGGTTGATAATAATAATTCGAATTATTATTATCAACCAATTAACTCTTCTTGTAAAATTCAAACTGAACGTATTCGGATGATCATAAACGCCGAAATGCGTAATTTTGTGGGCAATATAAGTTCTACGAACATAATAATTCGAATTATTATTATCAACCAATCAACTCTTCTTGATCTCTCATTTCATATCTAATATATAAACATAGTTTTCTTTTTTTGTATTGTCATTCCTGATGATGATAGGAGATACCTATCGAAAGCTCGAATAAATAAATTTGATTTTTGTTAAAAATCTGGTAATGTTCTTCGTAGCAGTCCTATACTCATTATTTTCTTATTTACATGTTACTGCTCTTCAACCACAATTTATAGCTACTACTCGCTCCAAGTATGGCGATGTTACTCATCTCACAATCAGAAAAGCCGAAAAACTATCTATTAAAGTACAAAAATGTAAATGCGATCTAGAATTCATTAGATTATGTACAATCTACAAACTAACACCATCGTTCGTAAAAATCTCACTCTGGAAAAAGAGATTAAAAACATCTAACGAGTATAAATCGTTGCAACAATATTGCCTTCAACAAGAATATAAAAATCGTTTTAAAGATTGCCTCAAACATGAAAAAGAATTAAAAACACTAATTGACAAACTTAAATTAATTATGAATAGTCATGATATTGATCAACTACAGAAATATTTATATGAAATATCTAAGAAAACAAAAGAAAAAACAGTAACAACACATTACAAAAAACTACGAATACTAAATAAAGGACCAGTTGGTCAAGACTACCTATCGCTTGAAACAAAACGCGTACACAATATCTCCTCTTATGTTCTCACAACAGCTGAAGAACGTATCTTATGTCGAGGTTGGGAATTCTGCATAGAGAATAAAGTTAATAATTTTATCGATTTTAAAACTGATATTGAATTAAACATGAAGAAAATTGAACAGTCATGTCATCGTAACGCCTTTAGTATTATATGCCATAATATATTTAATGCTTCTGATATATTTATGAAATCAGCAAAGAAGAAGAGCATTAGAAATGTAAGCGATGAAGAATTTAAAGCTTTAAAATCGTTAAAAGACAATACTAATATCATAATATATGTCGCGCCGACAAAGGAAATTGCATAGTCGTTATTGATAAAAAGATTACATAAATAAAGGCGAAGAAATTCTAAAATTAAAACAATTCCGACACACAGAAAAATCATTACTAAACGAAAAAGAAAAAGCAATGAATAACTATATCTCAAAATTGTTGAAAGACAAAGTAATTGATAAACAACTATATTGGAGAATTCATTCAACATCTTCTTCACTTGCTACTATGTATGGCCAACCTAAGGTCCTTAAACTTAACTACCCTCTTCTTAGACCAATCATTTCATCAATTGACTCATATAATCACGAATTATCAAAATACCTTGCCGAAATAATTAAATCTAATCGTACCTCTTCTCCTCCTTCATATATCCGTGATTCGTTTGAATTTGTTAAGAAAATAATTAAAGTTAATGATAGTAAAGATCAGGTAATGATAAGCTTCGACGTTGATAGTCTGTACACCAACGTCCCGGTAAATGAAGCAATTAATTTAACACTTGATATGTTGTATAAAAGATCATCTTCACCACCTATACCTTTTAACCGCTCTCGACTAAAACAATTGCTAGAACTAGCTGTAAGTAATACTCCGTTTCGTTTCTTACAAAAAACTTATATACAATGCGACGGCGTTGCCATGGGTTCACCACTGGGACCCATATTAGCAGATATATTCGTTACTAATTTAGAAACAAAATTAAACAAATTCTCAACAAATAAACCTTCATTATGGATACGATATGTCGATGATATATTCTGCTTATTCACTAAAAAGCAAGACATAGATGATTTTCTAGAAAGAATCAATAAATGGCATAAAAACATCAGATTCGCTAAAGAAGAAGAAATTGATGGAAAATTAGCCTTCCTAGATGTTCTTGTTATTCGTGATAATACTACTAACAAATACGTCACAACCGTTTATAGGAAACCAACTAATACTAACTTATATCTCTTATACGATAGTAATCAATGTCGGAAGTACAAACTAGGATTAATTCGTACTCTAGTAATTCGTATTTTACTCATATGTTCAACTATTACTCACAAAGACAATGAATTAACACTAATGAAACATACCTTAAAAACAAATGGTTATCCAGATCATTTAATAAGAAGAGGAATATGCGAAGGAGAAGTAATCGTCAACAAGATAAATAATAAGAAAAACAATCAACAACAGAAAACTCAAACTAAACAAAATATTTACTTTACACTAACATATTACGGGTTAGAATCAACGATTTTAGCCCGTAGAATCAAACATATTATTCAGAAATTCATGCCACTTACGAATATTAATATCGCTTTTAAGAAATCCTTTACATTAAAGAACATATTCTTACCGATTCAAAAAGGCAAAGACAAGACGACAAAAGATAAAAAATTAGTCTACAAAATTCCATGCAACAACTGCAATAAATATTACATCGGTGAAACTAACCGTGATAAGCCCACAAGAATGAAAGAACATCAGAAAGATATTAAGAACTTATCTGACTCATCAAATGTAGTAAAACACGCTATAGAACAAAAACATACATTTAAATTTGATCAAGCGGAAACATTAACCTTCGAAAGTAAATGGAATCGCAGAGTAATAAAAGAAAGCTTATACACGCACCAATCATTAGATCAATCATTGAATGATGTAAAATTCAAACTGAACGCATTCGGATGATCATAAACGCCGAAATGCGTAATTTTGTGGGCAATATAAGTTCTACGAACATAATAATTCGAATTATTATTATCAACCAATTAACTCTTCTTGATCTCTCATTTCATATCTAATATATAAACATAGTTTTCTTTTTTGTATTGTCATTCCTGATGATGATAGGAGATACCTATCGAAAGCTCGAATAAATAAATTTGATTTTTGTTAAAAATCGGGTAATGTTCTTCGTAGCAGTCCTATACTCATTATTTTCTTAATATAAAAAACACTTTTTCTTATTTTTTGATGATCTGTATAAAAAAGTACGAACAAAAACACGCAGATTTTTAGCAAGTGAAAGTTTAAAATTTAAACTAAAGTAGATTTATTCTAAGATGGACTCGTTTTTATCGTTTTCGAAAAATTATTTCATTGCCACTTCATGTTTTCGATATTAGACTACAAAGATGAAACAATATACTAAGTTATGTGAACATGGACGATGTATTGCGCCTCTATCTATTTTTCTATTGGGTCAGACATAACATTTTGATTACGTTTTAATGGAATTTTTTTTCTTTTTTCTACTCATTAAAGCACGAAAATTCTTGTAAAATACATCGTGTAAAAACAAAACTCAGCGTGTACAGCACGTACACACTATTTGTTTTTCAGTGTGTAAAACACCCCGGTCGAAGAAAACGATAAGTGAACGGTCGTATACGTTACAATAAATACGGCCCGGTTTTACGTGTCGTATTTTCTCCGTATAACAGGGGCAGTAATACGCCGTATGTTCTATAGGATACGATAATATTACGCCGGCTTTACGAGGTTTTACGGCTGATATACAGTGTCCGTGTATGGCCGTAATACTGCCCCTGTTAAAGCGCCTTAATTCGGCTTAAAACGGCCGTTTTACGACGGAATACGTTGCAAAAACGACCATTTACGGTAATGTTACGCCGGTTTACGATGGTCCGCTTTGATCGACCTGGGCAGTGAGTAAATCCTATTTGATTAGGGTACCGTATATTTTGTTTTGCTGGGTACACTCTTTCATTAAAAACACTGTAGTAGACAGAAAATGGCAAGAGCGGATGCGTGAAGGTGGGAGACGAATCAATATACATTCAAGTAAAAAAGAAGAACCTTTTGAGTTTTGTTGCTATTCTTTGTCTCTCATATGATGAGTTACAATTTCATCTAATAGTAATACGGAATACCCAGGTGAATCAATCCGATACCGAATCCCATCGGATTCTATGGGGTCCTACCATCCGACGAAATCCCGTTGGATTCCTGGTTGAGGAATCAATGTCGGATCCGACAGTCGTATTTCCAATGATATCCGATTGTCGGGACCAATGAAATCCGAAGCACTCCGGTTCCGATTGACGGTTGCTGTCGGATTTTATCAGTTTCCGATATTAGGATCCGATATCGATTCCGGAACCAGGAATCCGACGATAATCCGATAGTTTTCTTGCGCCTTCCGAAGAGCTCCGTCGGATTCCAATAGGAACCGATCGGAATTCATCGGATCCTAGGCTAGGATTCATTCTCCTGGGTAATACTAGATGTCTTTCTCATATTGTTTCGCATACAGCTAAAATGTTCGTTTTGTGACAGGTTCAGAAGGAAGAAAGTTTATTTTACATTTTTTACGTCAAAGGAAATTGTTCTTTGATTAGGAAAAATAGATTATTTATCTCGAACATTTCAAAGATGAAAAACTATTATGAAACATTTACGAAACCATTTGAAATCAAATACCACAGCACGCTCGAAGGAGAAAATTCATTCGTTGATATATTTGAAAATCGAAATAGTGCTTTCTCGATGAAAAATAGTTCATGAAAATCGATTTATTTCTAAATGTCTAAGTTCGCAGGTTTTTGTTTTGCAATAGATTGTATAGCGTAATCATAGAGATTCTGTAAGTCATCCTTTGACGTTAACTCCTGGAACAAGAGCAATTCAAAATAAACGAAACGTTTCTATCGTTTGTCAAATGTGAATAGAGCATTATTACAACTCTTTTTCTGTTATGCTTCGCTCGCATTTTCAAAACGAGAAAAACAATTGCAGATCACACTGAAGAACGTTTAGACACGTGTTGTGGAAAATTTCCTATTTTAAAGATCTTCTGTTGCTTTTTGTTTTTCATAAAATAATCTCGTAGAGTGAACATATCATATTTTCTATTCATTTCATAATATCTCACGGTTTTAGAGAGCGCCGATCAGTTAGCAATGAGAATAAGTCGAATGAAATGATTTCAACCTGTGGGAAAATTGTCTGCTAAGGATTAAATATATGTCATCATTGATGGTTGTTGTCCGCCTAAGACTTGCGATTAAAAAGAGTTTCTATAAACACACAATGAACTGTTGAATGAACCGACAAGAACAACTTTTGCTTAATGAATAAAACTAATGATTATCATTGGCATACGAAGAGAGTTGCTGTTTGATAGCATCGATGGTGACAAGGATAGCTTCATCAATTTGACAATTGCTTATTTTGACACTGGTTCTTAGGCGGATCGTGTCATTGGCTAACTGGAAGAGAAGGCTTGGGAACAGAGAACGAAGATGAAATTGAGTATGTATATAGCGTACATACTATTGTTTTCTTCATCATGTCAAAACAGTGTGTATTTATGTTCTGTTTGATTAGGGTACCGTATATTTTGTTTTGCAAGGTATACTCTTTCATTAAAAAAATTGTATTAATTAGATTATTCGAATATGTTCAAAACGAGATTTTGTTTTTAGAGAACGTTTATCATCTCAAATTCCGTCGTTATTCTGAAACTTTCTCTTATAAATAATCGAAAAAACAAGGCTACATATATATCAATACGTACTGAATGAAGGCAAACGAAAAGCAAACATATTATTTTTCTTTTTGCATAAATTTTCTATTGGTTTAAATCAAGCATTTGGAAACTTTCAATCACAGTCCACGAAAACAAATATCGCTTTTATTTATTGTGATGCATGTCGTCAAGTAATTTGTATGGATGTTTATGAATCAAAGTCCGAATTCCTACAGCATAATGATATCGGTAATACTAGTGTCGGCTTTCCATCAAATGGAATTTTTCTTGTTTCCGATTTTCTTGATGAAAATGAAGAAACTGATTTAGTAAATTATATTGATAATGACGCATACATTCTATCACCATCACAATCATGGTCGTTTAAAACAAGATTTTGGTATAAAAATTAATTGTAAAAAACAAACAATTAAAACAAAATATTTTACCGGCACCCCATTATATTCAAAAGCAATAATTGAACGTTTAAAAACACATCGAATTAGTGAAGATTTTCAGTCAGTTGAATTATGTAATTTAGATTATCATTCAGAACGTGATCCACATATTGATGATGTATGGATATGGCGTGAACGTTTAATAACAATTAATTTACTACCAAATACAATGCTTTCATTGATACCAAATGAAAAAGATTCAAATAAAATAATTGATATAGCATTACCACGTCGATAGATGATTGTACTTTATGGTGATGCTCGATATGAATATAACATGCTATAGAACGTCAGCATATACAAGATAGATGTACAGCAGTCACGTTTCGCGAATTAACAGGAAAAAATGATAAATTTTATGAAGAAAATAAAGATCTATATGAAAGAATTGTTCGCATTGGAATAGGGTGTGGGTGGAATAATCGTGGGAAGATTTGAAAAAATTGCTAACGAAATGAATGCTATGGCGATTGTAAGTTTTATCTAGACTACTGATTGTAGTGCTGAATATAAATGTATCATCTAAATAGAAAATGAAAAAACTTCGGAGAAATCAATTTTCATATTGTTCAGTAACTCTCTTGATCCGACGCTGCTGAACAAGAGCAGATGAAAGTGTTAACCAAACAAAACATACTTGATATAGATTTGTCGAACTATTGAATCTACTATTTCGCAGTGTCATTTACTAAAGTGGATGTCGATGTATCATCAACAGGCGAGAATCGATTGAAAGAATTATTTGAATCGACTTTTACACAGACAATATCAATATCATCATTTGAAACGGCCAATCCATCAAGTTATTTAATTAATGCTGAAGATAAAGATTTAATGAAAATATTTTCACATACATCTGTTTCTCTTGAAGAATTAAAATCGATTTCCTCTTGTATGTCAATGTGATGGAACGATTTTCGATGCTTTCTATTTACCGTGAAACGCTGACCTCTAGGAATGCTACTTGTTGCTCACCTGGAATCCATGTAGACTCCATATTAATAGAATATATATATATATATAATGCGCATACAAAGTGTTACATTATATCAGTTCTCTTCCATATGCAGCTAAGAGGTGAACTACATGAATAACTAATAGAAAAACGAGAGTGGTTTTTTCTGTTATCTTTTAGTTTTTCTTCTACAAGCTTTTAATTTAAAAATGTTTCGCAACACATCATATCACAGATGACTTTATGATGATCTGAACAATAGGGAATATTGTAACTGTTGCAATATGTAATTGTAATGATCCCGTTTCCGTGCCATTTCTTTTGAACTTACGTGTTGGTCTTGTCTATCTTTCATTTTCCTTTGTTCTCTCTCAAGTTTGGGTATTGAAACGTCTGTTTTATATGTAATCGACGCGATTGATGATGTAAATAATCGAATAAACTGTATCACCATCAGCACTAACGTTTCTTCTCTCAGAAATTGCCACAGTGATGACTTTGCGATCCCGTTCCTTCAGTCAAAGTTGGCAGCGTCGTTTCACACCACTTTCTGAAATACTATCGAACGTTGCAATGTTGATGAGTAATCCGATCGCTTGCGTAGTCTACCGAACACTGTTCTGGATCGATTGTGGCTGTTGCTGACGTCGATGCAAATGAGCTTCAACTTCACCAACGTCGACTAGGTTGAAAAAGAATGATCCGATGGAACGATGATAAGTTTCGAAATATAGGAAGTAGTGAGAAAATAATTATGAATTTTCCAAAACGATGTATTCTGGATGACGATACTCCGCTATTAATATGATCTTGTTAATGTTCGAGAAAGCGACAGAATATTTTCAAAACTAGTCATTATTCGACATCGCACATTCTAAAATCATCTAGTCTCTCTAGATGCGGTTAGAAACTTCTGAATTGTTCTCAACTAGGCAAGGAGTAAGTTATGGAACATATACTAAAAACAATATTATAGTTGAAAAATAAGTCAAAACTAGAAAGATGATATGGAGCCCGGGTGGACCCAGATGAGCAACAAGCATTTATTTATATTTCACGATATTTAGTTTCAGAAAAAAAGAAATAATGATGAACTACCGACGTTAGTAACATACTCTACTACTCTTCATCGGAACATATCTAGAAATGCATAATTTCCTCTCACGCTGTATGTATGTGATAATAATAACAAAGTAGGTGGGACCCGTGTGGACCCTAGGTAACGTATTAGGGTTAAATATAAAAAAAAATATGTAAGTTAAACAATAAGACATAGTTGTTCATAAAGTCTTCTTAAACGGATTTACTGAATAATCAAAGAATGGGATTAGATAACTTCTAGACTTGAGATTGTAGATGATGAAGTGAATCAGAATTTAAGTTTTATCTAATCATTTAAATATAATCTCCAACAGTAGATATTCAAAAAGAATTCCACTTTTTTCTTTCTAGTTTCTCCTGCATATGTCGCACAAATGCTTGAGATTCAACCATATCGTATAATTGGTCAAGCTTTACAACAAGCAGTTCAATATCTTATTGATACAAATGTACCTTTACATTTTCATAATATCTATTCACCGGAGACACCAAATACAATTACAGTTTCTCTCCGACCGACCATAGCAGCCAAACGTCTCGTTCTTAAACGTCAAATATCTTTACTTGATTATCTAATAATCGAAATTCTTCATCATTATGTGCACAGTTCATTGTCAACAAAAAGTTCGTCCATAACTGAATCGAAGCCAACACTTTTGGAGTCGGTCTGGCAACATATTTTAACATATTTTATTATAAATGAATGTTCACCATTAGCACTTTCAACAGCAACAAATACAACGAATTCATCTGTATCATCATTAATAAAAGATTTTAGTTTCTGGTCGGATGAACAAGCGTACACAACATTACAACGATTTATTAAAATTAGTGCTCAATGTGCTGATCATGGACCAGAACCAACGAAATATGCACATGCAAATGAATATTTAATTTCGGTACTTCAAAAAATGGCTACAACTGGCTTTCTATTTCCAATGTAAAAGTCTAAAAGAAAAAAAAATAAACTTTCGAGTATAACTACCCAGTGATTTGCTTGCGTAAATTGACATGAAATGAAAATTTAATTTTGTATTTTTTTATTCATTTTTGCTGTTACCGGCATATATAGTTTCTTTTTTTGAATTTAAAAAATAATAAAAAGAACACAGTAATTTTAAAACAAAGATCAGCTCATTGGTTTTGAGGATAAAATGTGAAATTCATTGGTCTTATTTAGTTTCTTTATGCTAGTATGATGCATGTTAAGAGAAAATCATGTAGCAGTTGATAATTGTTTTTCTACATTTATGCATCAACAGGCAAACGGTTTCTTCTATTCAATTGTGCATCTCGAACGTAAATGATATTTATCTTATCGTTGTGTTAATAATGTCTTGTCGTTATTCATATGCCTCCATAATTTTTCTAATCATTGAAATGGAGAATATGAATTTTTATCTAGACACGGATAAAAAAATACACTGCAATATTTACAACATTCCGATTTCCCGTAAAACTTTCGAATACTGTGCACATAGGTCTTAATCGGAGTTATTTATTGCGGTGATATTCTATGGATTTTTATTTTGTTCCATTGAACTGAATTGCAGAATCTCTGAAGAAAATTGATTTTTGAAATCTTCTAGCAGGCAATAATTTTTCTTCAACATGCGTTAGATTTTCTATCTTAAAATATAACTATATTACATATTCAACCCTATAGACTTCATGTTTTCACAAAAAAAGAGATTCTCATCAGTCACTACTACTATGCAAGATTTCGGTTCGAAAATCAATGTTCGTTTTATTTTTCTGACGAGAAAAGATGGCAATCATCAAAACACTTGTTCTTAGTTACGTTCGGACACTGTTTTTGGCCACTAAGAAAATAAATCGGATGAGTTTTGTTCTCGATTCTGGAGATAGAGATTTGTCTATTATCGGACATTTTTGTTCGAAATATTAGTTTGATGATACAAAGTTTGACGTATTATAATTCGACATAGAATCACGATTAAAACATAACGGAGAATAATACTTTATATCTTATAAATAGCACGCTGTCTTGTATACTCACGAATATACTTTAATTCCTCTACATAGACGCACAACTGCAATGTTATGTAGTTGGGTTTAAAAATAATAGGCTACTGCTTATCAAGACTAAATAGTATCGTGTGCATTCATCATTCCTCGTTTATTTTTATAATCAACACAGAATCATTTATTTCACTATAAAAAAATATGAGACAACGATGTCCTTTCCGCCTGAGCAAAGAAATCGAGAAAGACACAAAGCATATTTTTATCCAGCAGAATATAAACTAAGTGTGCCAGTGGGATCAATTGATAAAACAAACGAAACAAAATCTGATCATTGACTGTTTTATTTATTTCGTGTTGAGATAAAAATTTGAATATGAAATATTTCATTGTATTCAATTTTCCTTGTTATTAACACAAGATTTTTCTTTTTTTTAAAGATGTATAACACTGCTTAGAAAATCATGATAGATCAGAATGAGTATCACATTTGTAAGCATTAGTTCCTCACTGCATATTGGAATTATAACGATCAAACGCGTGTTATTAGATGAAAATTAACATTTGGAAAACATTTTCAAAGGACGTTCTATGAAAAGAAACGGCAACACTCCAAAATAAATGTTGTCTTATTCTGATAACGATAAGTCTAAAGCAACATTAGTGTTGTGAAAAGAAAACTGCACAGGTATTCTGTTGATAACATTGATAATTTATGAGATAAAAGCCACAGAGCCGACAACTAAAATTCAAACTAAAATATTTATATTAGCTGATGAACAACAAGTACTTATTGCAGCACTATAAACGAATTCGTGCCTTAATTATTTGAAAATGAAAACAATTTAACATTTATGTTCATCATCAATAAATAGATTGTGGGCGAAGAAGAAAAGCCACATCCTCAGTTAATTTACATTTATGATTCGTATGTTTCCTCGATCAACATGACGTAAACGAGACTAGTTATATGAATACCTAATATGATCCTGTCGGGGCGAGCACAATCTGTCCCGTATCTAGTATTGACACCGGCTTTCATAAATATTTACTCTGAATAATCTTTAAAAAAAAGCCATCAACATAATAAGGAGTATTTGTTTTCACCGATAAAAGATTCTACTTGTAATTGGCATAAGTAAAACATTATTCTTATCCATGTTCTACCATTTGATTGAAAATAAGCTGTTGCTAGTAATTGTTTCTTTTCTACTCGCATCATATTTTTATTTTTTCTATGAGAAACCAATCACGTTTGCATGAATAGTATCGGCACAATGGTATGTTAAACGAACATTTTGTCACGAGTTGTTAGTCGACCTTTCTCAAAACATAAAACGCGCATACATAGTATTCATCTTAGATTGTTTATTAAAGGAGATGTTTGTTTTTTTACATTTCTAACTAAGTAAAAAAGAATATATGAAGTCTTGTGTTTTCTTAAATCGATTTGAATGATCGAGTTTATTCGTCTTCTTCTGGTTCTTCTTCTTCTGCATTGCCTTCATCTTCAGGTTGTTCTTCAGCTGGAACTGCTGGCTCACCAGCGCCACCTTCACTTGTTTTTGTGAGTAACCATATTTTACGATCACCTGATGTCGATGACATTGTTTCGGAAAATCCAGCACGTTGAAATGCTTGAAGAATATGTGCTGGTGGATCGGTACATTGAACACCTTTTTCATGATCACATAATTTCTCATTCGAACATGATTCTTGTAAAAGGCGAATAACTTCAGGATGAACACGATAACTTTCAACACCTGAACTATGAACAATTGTTGGTCCTGTGCTTTCTTCAGATGCAGCACATGAAATTGTTACTGTTGTGTGTAATGCTAATGGCATGATTGTTGTATCTAAAAAGAAATATTTTTAAACTAAACCTTGAAAGCTATACTGTATGAAATAAATAGAGTACCACTTATATGACTTTACAAGGAATATTAAATCAGAAGTATGCAAGTAAAAGAAACACTACTATAGAAGTGTAAGGAAAAAAAAAGAGTAATAAAAGAAACAGAACGCATGCAAGAAGAAAACAGTAAGAAGAGTAGATAAAAGAAAAAGAAAAAGAAATATTTTGTGGCTGAAGCTCTTTTTTCTGATTCGATGACTCAGCCTTTACCGGTAGACCTATTCTCAACGTTGTTAGACATGAATTAAATGACGATTCGAAGCTATTTCAATTCAGGTTTCGTACTTATGAACAATTTTGGGTTAAATATCTTTTTGCAATAGAATTTCTCAGACACATCTTATTTTCGTGTATTAATAAGTAATCTATAGATTGTGTCAACGCTATAACTCTGACAAAGAGATGTCCATTCGGCTTGTGTCGTTAGTTGGAAACAATAAAAAATATGGGCCCATTCTGGTAGCTTCTTTGTTTTTACGTCCTCCTTGCTACATATTATTATGTACACATCATTTGTCAGCTGCATTGAAGCACAAAATAAAGATAGGAATAAATACAATGTACCAAAAATAGACTATAGATCTTGGTGTCTCATATTCTCACGCTATAACGCGGATGTAAAAAGTTAGCTACACCGATAGTTTCTTCTCTCGAGTAATTGAATTGAAAGTTCGAGTAAGACGCATGTGGCGAATTCTGGCATATGGAATTAGCAAGAGGAAACAAACGTCGTGCTCAATGATATACAGAAAAATATTTATAGCAAAGAAAATGTCGTTGACAAACATTGTTTTTTTCTTTTATTTGAGATTTCCGTCAGCAATGCTTACTACTTTGTTTTATCTGCATTTGCCACAGGGGTCATAAAGAAAATTGTATGAGAATAACCTAGTCGAAGTCGCCAGAAAAATTGTCATTAGATCTTGTGAATAGCTGCAAAGAAAAATCTCTGCTCGGATTCCCCTATGATTTATTAAAAATACATCAGGGATCCATGAATCAAAAAAACAATTGCGTCGTCTTTATAACTGTAATCACATGGCAACACTTGTAGAAGATGGAATGGTGATTCTTTTTCGTCTTTCCTTTCGCTAATGTAAACGTACCATTGAAGTTACTAACCAAAAATCTGTATGATGTTAATTATGATTTTTTTTAAAAGTTTACTCTTGTGCTACTAGAAGTTTCTGCAACAAATAATTTAGTTATAACTCCCATTTAAGCATTGATGTAAAATAGCATTTATTTTAAATGTTTATGTAGAAAACGAATAATGTAACAAGAAAAATAACTTGATAAGCAGTTCTTTCAAGCAAACATTCTAAACACTTTGATGTATGAATGTCAATACTCGTTGTACTTCTATCTAAAGAGGATTGGATTAATATATATGATCGGTGACATAAATGATTCTTTCAAGTTGAGGGTGTGAGTGTGGTCTTTCTCACTTAAGAGAAACGCACTCACACCTCGACGCCATCAATGGCCAATAGTAGAGTTTTAATTGGGATTGGCATAAAACTTGTCTACTAACCTCATGGATGTTCTGAAAGTCGAGTAGCTTGATACTAGCGAACAATAAAGTTATATCTACAAGTATTTATCAGTATAAGGGCCACTTAAAGTATGCCAGGTAAAATTATTCAAGTATTGTGCAAATGTATGTATCGCAAATGATGGAACCAAAATCAATAAGAACACTTATACGATGCATAATTGGGGGACGCAAAGAACTCGAAACCTGCAAGGTTTGGTCATCCAAGTTAGAACTCAATGGGTTGGGATATGTTACATGAATTGCTTGAATGCAAGCTTCTATAGATATTATTGGTTAAGTTTACCATGATAGTTTTATAGATATAATCTAAAATCTTTAGATCGCTGAACGGAAAATATGAACATATTAGTTTTTTCTAAACTTTCACCCCTTGTCTTTAGTATGATCTATGATTGATTGTTAGTATTATAACAGATAGCAATATTTTGTTCCCTGTTCATGAGTACATTTAGTATTACTATTTGAAAAAGTTAAAGATCTACATAAATAAATTTTCGATAGTATATATTTATTTTACGCAGAGTTCATATGCAGCTGGTTCGAAAATTTTGTGACTTGAATTCAATGAGCTCTTATAGTGTTTTTTATAAAAATCTTCAATACTTATAATATCCTATCATCTGGAAGTAGATCTCATTTAATTGGCACTTTTAAAATAGCATTTATTGAGTAAAATCGAACTTGCTCTCGTGGTTACCGAAGTTTTCACATCGCTCTGTATATAAAACACGCATAACTTTGTTCGTTTAATCGTTTTATTTTCCAATCGATAAGATATAAGATGTATAATGAAAACAAAATTATTCATCGATGAAATAAAATAGTTGAGGGCTAACAAATGTTCGTCACTCGTATTGAAAATATTTGCAAGTACGTCAATGACGATTTTTCTGTGATGTTTGTACTATATTTGGATTATCAAATCGTTCAGGTAAGAACATTTTTAGAAAAGTGACTGTATTGTTTTCTTCTCCTTCTCTACACGGATCGTCGTTTGCAATCATACGAGCGATTGCTTTCGCACATAGAAATCCATTGGGCATTCCATTACCTAAAAATAGATGGTAAATAAAAAGAAAAGTTTTGATTCAAAAAAATACTGATTAATTTACCATTATAACCACCCAAGAGAAATTGTTTATTATCCTTTGGTAACGGTCCAATTAATGGTAGATGATCAACAGTAAATCCCATAATACCTGTCCATTCTTGATCAATTTCAACAGTAAGACTTTTTTCTGCAATGCCTGGATGCCATAGAGAAAAGAATTTCTCGTGTTCTTCTCCAATCAAATGGTTTATTTCGGCATCATTTTGATTATTATGTTCAGTATCAGGACTTCTCCAACGGCAACCACCAAATACAATACGACCATCTTTAGGTGACTGATGGTAATATTCTCTTCCGTCATGTGCCGATAAACCAAATGGCCAAAAAATTGTTTCCATAGGCTTCGAACGACAACACTGGCCACGTGTTGGAATAATTTTATCTCGTACAAAATCCAAATATTCAACAGCATAAGCATTTGTTGCATGAACAATGGCTTGGCGTGCAACAATTACTCGGCCATTTTCAAGAATGATATTTTTTGAATCTTCAATACGAATTACTTTACCTTGTGTAATTAATTCAACACCAGGTTGATCAAGGCAGTATTTAAGTAAACCATAAACTAATTTTGCAACCCAAACTGTACCGGATTCACGCATGAAAAGTCCACCAATAAATTTATTGGAATGTAACATTTCTTGACATTTTTCATGATCCCACAATTCAAGATTATCTAACGACATCTTAGTTTTAGAATGTGTTTCTAAGTAGTCTTTCATTAATTCATAAGACTTGACTATATTTTTTAATTCTTCTGTATTACGAGCTAAAGCAACATTTCCACGAGTTATATTTATATCACAATCGATTTTATTTTCTTCTACAGCTTGTGCTATAGATCGAATATTTTCATGTTGAAACTCAATCCATTGACAACCATTTTCATAACCAAAATCTTCAGCATAGCCAGCTAAATAATCATAACTAGGCCAAAGAAACCCACCATTACGACCCGATGCACCAGAACAAGGTCGAGCATTTTTCTCAAGTAAAAGTATACGTGGAAAGCGTTCAACTGGATAAAGTTTACGTAACCAATAAACACAGCCGGCGCCCGATAAACCAGTACCAATAACAACAATATCGTATTCATCATTATTAGTAGATAATTCAGCATGAACTATACGTGGATGATTTAGAAACGATTGAATAAAGTCATGTTTTTCATCAATCCAAAATGGATTCGAATTTCGAACGATTGCGTGAGCCATTGCTAAGATATATTACCTTATGTAATTTCCCTAGATATAAATGTAATGTGATAGAAGACTATCATAGAAAACAAATGATAGCGTGCTCTTATAATTGTGATGAAATCTTTTATCTTCCTAATGCTTATGTATGCTGAGTGTGCTCTGGTATACATATTGAAAACAACAACAAAACAAAATACTATGTTAGTGCTAAGAACAGGTTTATATCAAGTGGCAAAGAGCAAATAGAACGAGAGAAAGGAATGTGTTCCCATATCAGTAAAGATCATATCTTCAGTATGAAAGTTTATTTGTTGAAGAAGAGTGTGTGAGCTTTCGACATCCTACTGGAATCATCATAAGACACAATATGACTCATCTTATTTTACAATTTTAGTGCGATTGATTTCATTTTACTAATATGACCAGAGATGTCAGATGTTCCGGATTTTAGCCATTTTTTATTTGAGTTTTATTTCATTCGTTTTAGCATTCTAAATTGTGAATAATTCGGCACAGATTTAATATTTTCTTATATTGGCCATCCTACACGTCCAATTGCTATTTCTTTCTCATTGCATATAGGTTCCCTTCACTTCTAGTGTAAATAGTAAAACAAATTATAATTTCTATTAAACGGTGATGTTCTCTTCTAATTTCAGAATCTCTGATGAAAATGAAGGTATAGAGATTTTAGAAACAACTGAACTATCACCAATACCAATAACACAAGTAACATCACCTGATGCTGATAAAAAATAAAAAGATAAAGAAGAAAAAAATGAGTTTTTCGATGTGTTAACTATATTTACTTGTTTGTTTTTTCGTTGTGTAATGAAAAGTAGAGTTATTGATAATATATCTGACAAAGAGGTTCTTTACGTGACTAAAATTGGTCATTGAAAAACTTTCCGGATTTTCAACTTTCACATCTGGCATCTCTGAATGTGACATATGCTCTTTCGGGGGTTGGTGGAAAATGTCGAAAAGGAAAACGCCGAAACACAGAAATAAAAATATCCCATAGATTGTGAAAGAGAAAAACGTCGAATATATTGAAAAAGGTCAGTTGTAAAATTGATTTTTGTTTTGTTTTCATTGGCCTCTCTTCGTCCGGCATATTGTATTTTACATTGAATAAAGGTAATTTTGTGGAAAGAAATATATATATTCAAAATGATCTCGAACTCGACACCTGAAAAATGCTCACTTAACAATCTACAATGTGAAATAACGTTTTCGATATCAATCAAAGGCAAACGATTACTAATATTTAAAAATTACGTTTTCAGATGCAATAAAACGACAAAATCAAAAATATACTGGATGTGTAGTGAATCAGAGTGCGGTGTTTATATTCATACAAACACTACTGACGAATTTATATGTATCAATGGTAATCATAATCATTCTGCAAATCCTGATCAATTAGAAGCAAAACTATTACGATCAGGTTTATCATTATTAATTGGAAAGAAAAAAAATAACATTTTACTATATTTTCTATTCTCTCTCTTCTTTTTTATTATTATTAAAACAGTCTTCATTATGGATCAAGGCGATGAATTCGTCGGTCTGCATTTTTCTTTTCAAGTTTTCATCTACCTCTTTCTCAAAAATTACTTACACTTTCGATATTTTCCACCAAGATCCTCTTTCGAACAGATGCCTTCTTCGAACAGATGTCATATTAGTAAAATGAATCACACTAAAACTGTAAAATAAAATGAGTCATATTGTGTCTGATAATGATTTCAGTAGGATATGGAAAGCCCACACACTCTTCTTCAACAAATAAACTTTCACACTGAAGATATGATCTTTACGGCAGCAATACACTTCATTCTCGCTTTAGGTAAATTTACGTTTTAATCACGTCATTTTGTCTTAGCTTTTCGAACAATTTTATTTGCTTTGTGTAAAACTAGATAAAATGATAAATTCATGACGTCACACATTTCGCTTTTACTCGGACATACGAACACAGTCAGCTGACACATCATTTACATATATATTTCTTTTTTCTTCTAAACGCTGATGCAAAAAAGAAGTACGACTTAGATAAGAAATTACAGACAAAAAAAACAGATCGTAAGAATAAAATAAAAAAAGAGAAAGTAACCCGTTTCGATACAAAAAAATCCTAACAGATCGAGAAAAGCACATACAAAGGCAAATGAATATGTATTGATCAGTGTGTCGGAGCCATTTTCACCTATGATTCATATAAATATATTGAATATATAAATTGCACATAAAATTTCGGTTAAATTAAGATAATTTTTATTTATGTAGAGTTTCGTATTAATTCTAATGATTTTGTATCTAAATAACTAGTCGAATCTGTAGTTGACATAAATACATTTATAACAACATTAACCATAGATACTAATGTTGTAAGAAATAATGCCATATTATTATATTTTTCCAATTTAAGTTGTTTTTGTGGATCTTGAATATTACCTTTTCCGACAATAACAAGTAGATAAGCTAAAATTATTTGTACAATTATCGAAATACAGACAAGAAGAACTGATGCAGCCCATATAACATCACGTTGTTTTTGAGAAGCTAATGTTCGTAATTGCATAGCATTACTTGCTGGAACAACAAACATAGCAATTGTAACACTTTATAGAATATGGTTCGAAAAATTAAATAAACATTAACTTACTAAGTAAAGCAAATCCTAACAAACCATGACCTAAACAGGAAAAAATTGTAATGTTTTCTTTTATTTAAAATTGTGTTTTACCGATTGTTTTCTTTGTTGCGTACTGATTGTAATTACATGCACATTCCTTCAATGTAGAAAATAAACAACGGTTCGATTATCTGTTCTATGCTGAGAAATTTCTTTCCGACAAACTTACAACGAGATCTTCAGCTATCATCTCCATTATTCGAAAGAAAATATACTGATTTCTTATGCTAGCTTTTTATACAGGCAGCTTGGCACCATATTTATATATACTCTCTCATTCCGAATTTATCTATTCATGGTTGTCGGATAAAAATAAATTATTCACATGTTTTGTTTACTGTAAGTCCTTTTGATACACGAGAATATCGTTGCATATGATTTATGACTTGTCGTCAAGACAAGTCAATGTTTGAAAGTAATATAAATATGCACGATAATCAGATGTCTAGTCATAATCGTTTTCTTATTTAGAATTATGAATTTTTCAACAAAACTGTAAAATTTATTTCGATTTTTCTCTCTTTCTATTCATTACGCTTGAAAAAGTATGTAAAGAGACTAGTTTTATAATCAGAATGGCATTGTTTAGGGTATAACAATTTAAATTCATTTTTTTCAAGTGCTAGAGAACTTTTAAAGATTGAGAGAATCTAAAAAAAAAGATCCCATAACACTAGATAAACTTGTAATTTGAGGTTTAACAACAAAGAATTAGATAGTAGAATTAAAATGTGAAACGTTTTCTTCAAAAAGTTCCGCATATCCCACTAAAAACGTATATGTTGTAGCCAAAAGAGATAATTTATCCTCGGGTTACTGAAATTTCAACAAAACATTTACTTTTTTATATGAGTTTTACCATGGGAGACTTTTTCTCTAAAGAAAACAGCAATCATTTCTTCTGGGACAGTGATGTCTTTACTAGGAATTAAGTAGGGACCTGAAGAGATGACATTTTTTTGTAGATACAAGTCTAACTATGTCATAATGAAACTTTATAGAAGTAAAATTTTACATTGAGACTGAAATTGAATTATCTACTAAACCAGTTCACATAGGAGATCAGTAGAATAACATAGTTATATCGAAGTTTCACATAATTTCTCGCGCTCTTCTTGTTATTACGAACAAAAAAAAACAGATGTGTCGTCTATTGTGTGCACGAATATTCCCATTGATATCAATTGCTGACATTATTCCTTTTCATACAAGTGTTATACTCCTACAGAAATGAGACAATTGTTTTTTTTTATTGTAGATGTAAGCCTCCTTCACAAACCGATTAAGAATAACTATTCAATCTATGATTTCTGAATAGAATTATGTTTGTTATGGATCGAAAAGAAACAGAATTTTCTTGGTAATTAATTTATGCATGAATGCGCATATCAAATGGATAGATGTTTAAATTACTTGATTTGGGATATTCGTATCATTTTCTTCTTGTTTATCCATGCGACGAGGTACTGGAGGTAGAAGTTGTTCTTCCTGTGGATTACCTTGAAATTCAACTCGAACCGGTGGTACTGGACGAATATTATCGGTAGATTCTGGATACATGTGTGGAGCCGATGGCGATGCTTTGCTTGTGGTTGATATTATTGTTTTCCAGTAATATGGAATGACTACATGAAGAAAACGAACAAATTTATTATAGTGATGTAATTGAAAAACAATGAGCGAATGATTGAGAATGCATTTAATGAAGATAGTCTCGTAAATCTTTCTCTCTTTATTCTCTTCTTTATGATTTCTTGTTCTTATCGTTTTTACGAGTAGGCGGAAATTTCGTTTATGCCAAGGCTATTTAGCAATGCATAAGAAGATTGGATATCTAGAAGTTACCTTTATCCCTCAATCATCTATCAATTTACCTGTAATCAATTTCTATACAATAATAATAATAATAAATATATTAGTAATTGAAAAACAATATGTCTGTCAATGATGAGAAAACGAAACAGTTTGCTTAACAAATATCAATGAGACGAGTTAAACTCAAAAAGGAACAGAGAAAGAATAATGTGAGCAAGTGTAGACAACCATGATAAATATTGAGCAACAAGCGAGAAAAAAGAAAGAAAGAATAGCGGAATACTCTCTTGCCAGTGAGTGAGACACCGGTGACCGAGAACGAGAATTTTTTTCTCACTTAATTTCTTTTTCTATAGCAACGCATATTGGTTCTTCTTACTTCAACGCTTTTTCCACTCATGTTGAAAGAACTTTTATTTTTATCCTTTCTCTTGTAAACTTTTATGTATATGTAAGCGTCTAGGCTGTGTCTTTTTAACACTCAACACTCTTAATCATAGGATAAGATTGATCATGCATATTTAAGCAAGGGAAGTATTATTCAAACATCAAGATATAACGATTAGTAAAATAAATATAATCAAATTGAGTATCATATTTTATTTTATTAGGTATTGTTGATGTAAATATTAATCTATGATGAGAAAAACAAATTATTACAAATCATAAAAAAAGAACCGATACATCTATTTGAAAAAGAGAAAGAAAGAAAATAAAATTGTATTGTTTACACATACTGTGCCAGTGTTTTATAGCATTCTAACATGTTTTCACGACTATTACTCAAGTTCCTCGAAATCTTTTTTTTTCGTTATCTTTTCTTGGCGCAGTGTTTCGAATCTGATCGGCATATCTAATCACAGATAATGCTTGCATTGTACAAAAGACTGCTCGTATCATATGCGCTATAATGATGATAGTTTTTAAAACTCAATGTGTCGCACATTATCGATTTGTAAATGCAGGGTGAATTACCGATCGATATGTTACAAAAATGTGATGATCAAAAAATAGTCGACTCAAGGTTTTCATCCTGCTCAAATAACTAATCGTATGTGGTGGGTATACTATTTCTACTTAAGACAAACATTATGTATGTTTGTTGTACGGCTAACAAACGTGTACCAATAATACTTATGCGATCAAATATCAATTTAATATTCCTTTGATCGTTGTTTACGGAATGATTTTTTGCCTTCGTGTAAGAAAAGTATATCCTCGTAACATTATTTGAGTTTTACCTGTAAATAATTTTTTTTGTCTTTACTTTCAACGATCGGTTCCGACCAGTTGTTTTTCATCACGATGTTTCATTTAATTTACTAATATTATAATAGATAGTCCTCAGTGACATTTTCACAGATCGTAATTTTTCGTTCGAATAATCTAATCTTCAGTCATGAGAGTTTTCTAAATAAGAAAATGAGGCCACAATTCAATAAATCTACAAGAAACAAAAACTTGTGTTCCGATGTGTTTATTAGTCGATATAACCTTGACGACATTGCTATAGCGATCAATATAACATTCACATGCATTTTGTTCTATTACAACTGAATACAATGATCTATACGAATAATTTATTAAATGTATGATGCTTCTTACCGACATCATTTTGAATATTTTTGTTATGTCAATCTTTATTAGAATTGTTAATTGTTCAAAAGAAAAGAATTTATTTTTCAATCATTTATTTATTCGTACGTTGAAAGCGAGATTTACTGATATTTATTTAAAATAATAATAATAATAATAGAATGAGCAATATAAATATATGATTTTTTGTGTGAACTACTTATACAACACTAAATGACTGGTTTATAGGTCCTAAAAATAGTTTTAAATGATTAGTTGGCATTTCTATGAATTTATAATCTAAAGATAAAGGGATGCGTTTGTTGTGCTCAATTAGAAACATTAAATTCTTTAAGTAAATGCTGAACATTTGAATCCACTTTTGATGCACTGGTAAATATGCAACCAACAAAAGCATGAGTACCTATAGTTGATATATACATATACATATTAAATAAATATAAAAATAAAATTTCTATTTACCATGTTGTAAATGTTCAATGACTCGACAACAACCTAAATCAACAACGTTGATACCAAAATTGCGATAACGTTCATCGGTCTCAAATAACGCATCTGATGTCGATGGTCCATAATAAGGTTTACCATTCGATGGATCAATAAAATCTACCCAATATTGTTTTTTATTTAAATACGTAGATATTTCTTGAGCTAATTTATTAAATTGTGCAATCAATTGATTGCGTTCATTTTCAACTTCGACTGACCATTTTGACATATCAGATTTCGTTTTAAATGCCACTGTTATAGCTGTTAATGGCTGATTTAATACATCATAATTTAAAAATAGATTATTCAATTTTGAGCTTATTGATGTTGGACAATCGTAAGTGCGGATTTCTACATTATTTGAGTTCATTAATTTTGATAAAATTTCTTCTTGACTTTTTGCTACTGATCCTGCTGATAACATGTTTTGTGAATTCAATAATTCTTGTTCTTGAACTGGTTTCGATATTACGTTTGTTTCATAAAAAAAGCCAATACGTCCTGGTAATGGAAAACGTGAATTAAGTTCATAGATTGCATCAATGTTTGATGCTGGAATTGATGAATTTTGTTTTGATGCATCTAATTGATCAACAAGATTTATAAGAGCCCGAGATTTTAAATCGATAAAATTTGTGTTATATGAAGAAATTTGACGAGTTGGAAATAGGAATATTGATGCTCTTGAGCGAACGTGCGTTAATAACCGATCCATTTTAATCTAAAATATACTAAATTAGAACATTCATTTTTTTGTTTTATCCGTAGTTATTATCATAGGAATAAAAAAAATCCATGAGTCATCATGTCTTATTTTTTCTTGGCTACCATTATATTTTTTATTTTCCTCCTGCCTTGGGCCAATGTTGCATTGCAGTAGTGTACAGAAGGCGCTCGTCATCAGGAGTAAAAGTGCAATTTTTTGTATAGAACGGAAGAAAACAATCGCAAAGCAACTGTTTTATCATCTGTATACTATATAATATAGAAAATGTGGTTATAGACAAGATTTAGCAGATAATTCAAAGTTAATACAAAAAAAAACTACACGTTCCTAGATTTATGGTTTATGAGAAACTCAATAAAGTCTTCTAAACGAAAATTTTCAGAGCGCGATTCAAACAAAATTTGTAATAAGAATTTTTAAAGGAAAAGAAACTGAACCAGTTTAACATGTTTATTATGAAAAATTTATTCATTATAAAACACAAATGAATTCCACTACAATATAAAACTGTGTATGTATTATTTTTTCATTATTGAGTGAGTTTAAAATCTTGTCCCAAATATTTGTAATAAGCACAGAAGAAAGGTTCATGTTGTGATATTTTCTGGATAAAATATAATAAACAATAAGAAATAAGAAATAAATGAATCTATCACAGTAAAATTCATGTTGAAAACAATCGGCCTAACTAAATAAGATTAGTAGAAAAACAACAGCAACCTAGAATTAATAATTATCAACAACAACAATAACAGTATAACAATTTTAATATAATCTTGAGCTGTGATATCGTCGTTGTTTCATATAAAAGAATATGCCAACACCAACCAAAATAGCAATTATCAAAAGAGCAACAATGGCAAATATTTGTAGCACTGACCAACTTTTTGGTTTCGAAGTAGTATTATTCTCACTTCCCATATTAGCTGTTGGAGCTGATGGTAGTATACCTGTACGATCTTCTTTTCGTCGTTCTTCACTTGACTCTAATTGATATGTATGTACAGATATAATATCATGATTATCACTAAGTTCGCCAGTTGCAGCCGAAAAACCAAAATAATAATGTGTTGGTAAATTAATACCTGCTATGGAAAAACATTTTGTCCATTTATTTTGTCCTTCAGTATCAGTAGATATAGTTAAACGATTATCTTGATATCGAATAGCAACAAGTGTATCTGTATCACGACCACGAAAAGGTGATTCACAACCAGCTACGGTTAAATTGAAACCATCATTATCATGATTATAATGAAGTGAACCATTATTTACTATAGCGGATATATATGGAAAAGTACGCTAAACAAATTCAAATAATTAGTAAAATAAATCAGTTTTTATACCTATAAATAAATAAATAAACTTACAGAATAATCTTCGTTTTTATTAGCATATGTGTCCATAACAATGGCTAATCCTTGGAAAAAATCTTTTGAACCAAAAACAGGACCTAGAAGAAAAATAAGAGAAAATTAAAGGGCTCCAATTATCTAGTATTGACACTTTGTAATATGAATAAAGAGAGAATGTTAACTTAATGAGTTTCTTACCAGCCATTTTTGGATCTCGAACATACCAAATAACAAATCCATCGCCAAACAAAGTTTTTGCTTCCCCGTAAACTTTAAATTGAACATGTATTTCCCAATCAGGATAATAAACAGGTATCCTATTCCATAAACCACCAGCTTTACTTTGTACGTCGGGCGTTAAACGAATAAATTTATCCGTAACAATTGTATTCCCAGTTAAATCCCAATTTGAAGTTGAAGTTGAAAAAACTTTAAAAAGCAAAATAATAATTTCATTCAAATAGGAGTCTTTTTTTTAAATACCAGATGCATATGGACGAGTTAAACTATGTTCACGAACTTCAAATGAGCCATGTCCTTGTTGAAAGGTGTAATTGATTAAAAAAATTAAATAAAATGAGACAATAGTGATGGAATACATCTGAAAAGAAAACTAAATATTAAATACTATAATCAATCAATCAAAACCGGGGTGACTTCGATTAGAGCTTTTCTCTCGAGTGCTAATATTATATGATATTTCATTTCATTTCTTATTTAGAACGAATTGATTGGATAAACAGTTTGACAATAAATGATCGACTTTTTATGAACGAATGTTTTTTTTAAATAGAATTAAATCAAGTTTTCAAATAGAATTAAATTTGCTTCTTTTACGCAATAATTAAATAAATGAAGCAACGATATCTATTGAACTTGATTTCGGTTGGTCAACGTATAAATTAACAGCTTAGAAGTTGGTGCAGGAAAGTAGACATAAGTCAGCGCCGCAGTACACCTGCTGTTTTCGATATTAAGGCTACCTTCAATCGTATTGAAAATTAAAAGAGTATTTATAATGGACGAAACTTCTTAAAAAAACAACTTCTCGAATGCTGCGCAGACTTTTGAACATCATTTAAGCTCAATTCAAAATGGGCGGAAAATTCTCCGCAGAGAATGTTGAATGGAAAGATTACAGTTTTCTAATAATACAACGAACAAACTATTTTTATAGACAATCTTTTGTCTTATAGTCATTTTGATAAAAGGAAAAACAGTAGATTCGATTTTATGTCATACACCTGTGATATTTTGTCACAGTAAAGAATCAGACGTTTTAATTAAGTTTCAAATCGTTATCAATTATTAAGAAAGACAAATAAACAGTATGGCAAGGCTCTTTATTTAGTGCACAGAGATTAGAAATATGGGACTAAAAACAAATGTAAATGAATGTGTGAATGCGTCTTTCTTTTGTAGCCATACCCACCATAGAAACAAAAAGCAAATCATTTATAATTCGAAAAGATTCGTTCGAGAAGTATTTCTCTTCAATTAATCAACTCCTTTCGCTATAAATGTAGACTTTTTGTGCAACATAGAGAATCTTTCATCGAAACCAACGTTTCGAATAAGATTCTGCATTGAAAAAGTCGTTTATTATAGACAAAAATAGATATTTATATTCTACAATACATTTTTCAGGTGATAATAGTCTGCTTCCTTGTAATTTAGTCTTGTGACTGACGACTATTTTTATTGTACTATATTTAATAAATAATCAAATGCAGACATAATTGACCATCAACATAAAGTTTGCAGAACGATTGATCAGAGTTTTTTTAGACTAAAATTTTAATCACAGAATTTAGTTCTCGTGCTCGTTATCTATATTTACTCCGTATTTTTGTTATAGATCGGAGAAACGAATGTGATGGCATGGAGCTAAAATTAGAAGTCACATGATAATTATTGTTCCTTTCTTTATTTTACATCTTAACCCTTGAGACAAGTCGTAGGGTTTAAAAATTATTTCAAGATTACCATTGCATCATCCTTGTTTTATTTATGATACTATTCACATAAATGATATTGACCTAGAAAAACTAAAATAATGAATTAATCCAGTTTTTCCTCTTATTAAATGTCACTGAGGATACGTTCATACACAAATTAGATTCCTTGACTCAATCGGGTTTTAAAGTTTTTAAAAGCTGTATTTTCAATTTTATAACTAAGAAATTTAAAACAAAAATGTAGAGTAATATACCATTCGATGCAGAATTTGATTCTCTAGAAAATTGCTTATCAATGTTTTACTCTCATTCTTCAGGACAACTTACTATACAATTATTGTGCTCGTATTTCGATGCAGCAACTTGATCTTTTTACAGAAGGATGTATGCAGGGCAGTGATCAATATATATAAACATTAAATATTTTTAAGCATGTTCAGTGCGTCAAATTTGGTCGACAAAAAGACGAGTCACAGCGTTACGTTTGTCTTTTGCATTTTTAATCTGAGCGAAAATAGTTTAGAAAAAATATTTTTTTGCTGCTTGAAAGCCCATGCAATTCCCTACAAAACTGATACCATAAGCATTTCATTTGAAGAAATGATTTGTCAAAAAATTAGAGCTTTATAAGCAGCCCTAGTGAAAAGGGTCCGTTTTTGTCACAGTGTTACGCGATGATAAAATCTTTCTAGAAGCGCGAGCGTTCAGTCAAACTAGGTCATTCTTTCAACATAAATAGAGTACGATAAACTGCGTGGAATGACGTTTGAACGATCTTATTAGCTCTTATGCCTTTCGAGATAATTGCACAACATTTTGTCAAAATGTCACAGCGTTACGTTTGGACAAGCCGATATTGGGAATAGAATACATCAATATTGGTTATCTGTTCACTGGTTTTATTAAAATTTGAGCAAGCTTGACAAATGCAACTTTTTGGCCATTTTCAATATTGACACTGAAAGACATCGAACAATCATTTACCTTCCAGAATGCTCTTAGTCGTATATTTGTTATGAACTACAATGAATCACATTTCCTATATCTCCTACGAAGAACGAAAAGAACAAACTTTATGATTGCACAATCTTCAAAGTGCAGCAGTACTTATCAATGTTAAAAGAAATAGATTGCTGAAGCTCAGGCTCGAACGCTGTACAATAAATGTGTTCACATTATTATTAAAGTAGCAAGAAGTTAACTAAATAAATCTTTGCTAGAAAATACAATAAGAAAAATTTATCCTTCGTATTCTGTGCTCATATTTATTTAGTTGAGTTCTTGCTTACAAATAGTTCTTTTAGTAAAAAATATAAAATCACGTAAATTACATCTCTAATTTGTACTTTTTTTATTCAATAAATTTCGTTTCACACAATAAATGCCTCGTCATTGTGACTTTTCGGACTTTTGTGTAATATTTGAAAATGCGTAGGTTGTATAGAGTATGAGAGAAATGATAAATTAAATCGATTCTTCTGCCCCCCCCCTTTTTTGCAGGGGGGTATTAATTTAATTTTCTTATGTTCTCTGTGTCTCTTTCTCAAGGAAGGTGCTTAAAATAGGGCTTTACCCTTTCGTTCTTCTCTAATTTGTCCAGATGTAATGGTTCTCATAATGATTTGTCTCTATGCAAATATTGAAAGATATTTCTCTCTCTCTCTCTGTGTTATCTAAAATCGTATATATATATATACGTAAGAATCCAACGATGAAATTCATTCCAAACATTTGATCCTCTTTATCTGAGACAATCAGCAAATCTACAGCGAAGAGATTTGACAAAGCTTTAGTTTGCTTGATGGTGAAAGTTTACACAGAACCCTTTTACAACAAAACCCAATCGATCGTCGGTGGTCCTTCAAGTCGTAATTATAAGAGACAACGTATTAAACTTAATTTATCAAACAAGTAGAAGCACAACAATGAAGACTGACATAGTTCAACAAACACAAAATCTTCTCAATATGATCGCTAAGCGCGATCTAAATGATGATGGTAAGAATAAATATTTTTTTCAATTATTTATTTGCATTAATTATACATAATTTTATATAGAGAAGAAGCAATTGATCGATGAAACAGTTGATAATTTCAATTCATATATTAATCCAGGATTTTTAAAATACCGTAAATCTTTTTCACCCGATTATGTAGCTGGTAAGTTTATTATTATTATTTTATTTCGTAGAACAATTTTCAATAATAAACGATCTATTTCTATATTTAGTTGAATGGGCTGATAGTGGTTCAACATTTACATGTGTTAAAGGTATTGAATATATTGATTGTCTTGGTGGATATGGAATTTACAAGTACGAAAATAAAATAAAAGAGAAAAATTCAATATTTCATTTTTTTGATGATATTTTAGCGTTGGTCATCGTCATCCAAAAGTTTTAAAAGCAGTTACTGATCAATTAAATCGTCAAGCACTTCATTCGCAAGAATTACTTGACCCATTACGTGGTTATTTAGCTAAAATTTTAGCTGATTTAGCGCCAGGCAATTTGAAATATACATTTTTTACAAATAGTGGTACAGAATCCGTTGAAGGTGCATTAAAAATGGCTTTGCTTGCAACTGGTCGACGAACAGTGATTGCTGCTGTTGGTGGCTTTCATGGCAAAAGTTTAGGCTCATTGAGTGCTACTTCAAAGTATGAAACAAAAAGAAATAAAAATGATGATTTCTATATTTTTCTTCTATAGAGCTGTTTTTCGAAAACCATTTTTACCATCATTACTCAATATGCGTCATATTCCATTCAATGATTTAGCTGCACTTGAACAGACATTATCTTGCCTTCAATTTACTGGAGATGATGCTGGTAGGATTGTGTTTTTTTTCTTCATTGAAATTTATCATGGGTCTAATTATTTTTGCTGATTTTAGCTGCTGTTTTACTGGAACCAATTCTTGGTGAAGGTGGTATAATTGTACCAAGTGATGACTATTTCCCAGGTGTTCGTCGTTTATGTGATAAATATGGTGCTTTACTCATTGCTGATGAAGTTCAAAGTGGTATGGGACGAACAGGGAAAATGTTCTGTGTTGAACATTGGAATGTTGAACCAGATATTTTATGTTTGGGCAAAGCTTTCGGTGGTGGTATTATGCCAGCAGGTAAATAAAATTGATAAAAAATTTCAACTGAAAATTTTACAATATGACTGCTTTTTTCCTAGGCTGTTTTATTGGTAGCGAGAAATTATGGTCGCCAATATTTGATAATCCATTTTTGCATACAACAACATTCGGTGGTAATCCATTAGCATGTGCTGCTGCAATAGCAACAATCAATGTTCTACTCGAAGAACGCTTGTGTGAACGTGCTCAAACTGTTGGTGATTTATTCTTAAGCAAGCTTAAATCAACTATTAAACCGTACGCACCACATATTGTACTTGAAGCTCGTGGTAAAGGTTTAATGATAGCATTGGAATTTCCAGATTCTGACACTGGCTTTCGTGTTTCAAAAGGTTTATTTCGAGAAAGAATTCTTGTTGCTGGTACATTAGTTAATGCAAAGACAATTCGTATTGAACCACCATTAACTATAACATTGGAACAGGTTGATACTGTTATTAATGCATTAGGTAAAGTATTGAAAGAGATTGCAAGCGAAATGAAAGTTCAATTAGTCAATGAACCAATCGTGAAACCAGTGCCATTAAATAATCTTCAACAAACTGTACTTTCAAGACAATTATAAAATACAGAACCAAACTGACATTACGTTTTTGTTTTGCTTTATTTAGTTGCTTAGAATATGTTCATTTTTTTTTCTTGTGTGTTTAAGTATTCAATAAAAGATAAATTCAATGCTATTCGATAAAGAAAAAGCAATTTTACCGTATTAAACGATCACATTATTTACAATTTAAACATAACATCGAATCTTTCGTTTTAACGAACAATCATGATCGAGCAAAATATTGAAATTCCAGTTGATTTGCCCATGAAATTTATTTTCGATATTTTAACACCACAGCCACATTTCGTAATTGTTCATCATGAAAAACATCGTAAAATCAATGCTATTGAAAATGAATTTCTTCTTTTTTCATGCGCATTCGTGTGTACCAAAAAAGTCCTATTGTCAAGAAGCAAAACTTATGGCAATTATTAGAAAGATATCCACTTTGAAATGTTTTTCATGCTTCATCGCCTCATATAATTTTATACATAATTTTTATCTATCAGCAAGACAAAGACTTTCATTATTTAATCCTTTATACAAAAATTTCGGTGTTCATATGTGTTTACATGTTAGTGGAGCAAAGAAGAATACAACTCATTTAATCGGACGTGCTGATCGAGTTCTAATCAACTTTGGATATTCTCAGAGTCGAACTAGGCATAAAAAAGATCATCGTCCATTTCAGTTTGGTTTCTTATCGATTTATGTAGCAAGTTTTACACTACAATGATCGCATGAGGAACAAAACTGTAGAGCTGTATAGTAGTGCCATCTGTCGTTGAAATTAGTCTGCTGATTGATATTAAAAGATAATTTGAAAAATTCCAGGAGAAAAATAAAAATATATATCCATTTTCTCATGCACTTACATATATATTCAAATCGAAAAAATACTAGAGACTTTGTTTATCTGTTTATGGCAACACGTGGCCACCACATATCTTGATTTAACTTAAATAGTATTTATATTATTTAAATTGTAGATTAACAAACAAGCACAAATGACTACTCAACGGTCAGCTTCGCAGGATGAAGATTTACTTCTTCAAGACTTTAGTCGTAATGTAACAACAAAATCATGGATTTTATTTAGTGGTAATGCTGCTGTTGTTTCGGCCATTCCACTTTGTGAGTAATTTCACTTAGAAGCGTATTCATCGTGATAGATCTTCTTGTTAAATTTCCTAGGGCTTTTCTGGCGTATTCATCAAATGGATTTTTCATCATATTTTATTCATTTTATCATTGGTACCATTGTTAGTACATATTTTCTCAATTTAGCTTATCAAAATATGAAATTCATCTTAAAACATAAGTTCGTAGACTTGAAGTTTTTTGTCATTTGAATTAAACTAAAACGAATTTTAGAATTGCACAAAAACGTGAAGAAGCTGTTAATCGAGAAATATCAAAAATATTTGCTAACGATAAAAATGCCAACAAGAAAGATAAAGATGACCGGTAAGGAAATCTTTTTTTCACAAAGGATATTTCAAAGAACTTTTTCTATTTCCATTTAAATAGAGTTTTAACACGTAAAAATGAAGTAGCTGACTTTGAAGCAACAACCTTTTCAATCTTCTACAATAATTCATTCTATCTTGTTTGTCTTATTGTATTGTCATTTTTCGTTTTGAAGAATTTTTCACCAACGGTTAACTATTTGTTTTCAGTTGGTTTATCAACTCTTGTTGTTTTTCTCTTCTCAACTGGACAAAAATAGAACTTGAGACATTTTTGCAATATGTTCTTGTGTTCCGGATTAGTTTTAGACATCTATACTTTCGTTTTGTTGTTATTGTTCTTTTTCATATGTTATTATCGTTGTAATCAGATGTCTTCTTTTTATTGTTTATTAACTTCTATGATTATTAGTTAAGTCTTGGTGATGAGAATAAAAAAACATCAACATCTCTATTTATGATTGAGTATCCTTGAATTATATTTCTATCAATTGAAATTTAAATCACTTCAGTATATCAATTGGCAGACGAAGGAATTTATGATCGTTTTGATACGATGAAATAATAAACTGATCCTCCTGATTGGTTTTAAAATTAAATATGCTATTAAAAAAAGATCCTTGAAAGTATGGTCCTTTAAATAATCGAACTATTCTATATTATATTTGATAATTACACTGAACTATTGACTTCATCTCAATATTTGTCTTTAACAGAAGTATATTTGAAGAAGTAAGAATGAAAGCATGATACAATTCAGTCATTCGTATTCAATAAGAAATCTACGATGACAATGTTAACCATCCTTATTTTACTCGTCTCTATATCATCTTTCGATAGTAAGAATCTTTGTTTTTTTGTTGCTCACTAAAATATTCATGCCGTAAGTTTCTCAGTTACTCATGCTGCGTCATCATGTTATGCGTGTAATCCTTGTGGAACAACATGGAATCCAGCAGTAGCTACTACAATTCAAACAACAACTCCTACTGACTATTGCCGTGTAAGTAACTATATTAATTTTAATAAAAAATAAACAACTTTTCTTCTCAAAAGAAAACCGTAACCGGAAGCCTTGTTGTAAAAGATTCAACATCAACATGTAATCCAGTTAATGTTCTTAATAATGGAGTTTATTGTTGTCAAACAGATTATTGTAATACAGCAAGCAAATATTCATTAAAACTAATTCATATTGGATTTTTAATGATTTTTATTAGAATAATATGTTAAATTTAATTATATACTTCTATTGGCACAAAATTTTATACTCTTTTTTTTTCTCACTATAAAACGTTTAAGACATGACAAAAAAAAGAAGATTGAATATATTTAATAAAAAGAAAAGCAAGAATTTTAGCGTAGCACAAGTTTATTTGTTTCAAAATGTTTTAATCCATGATAGAGAGTAAGTAAATAAGTGAATACACATTTCTTATCTAATTGACCACGTATAAGATCATCACTGTCCAGTAATTGATGAACATGAGCTTTTTCTCTGTAAAAATAGATTCAAATAGATTATATAAATAAACACAAATTGACTTACTCAGCTATACGAAATGCTAAATCAAAATTACTCTGTTTATTGTCACGATTTAATTTATTAAAATCGAATTCATCTGGAAAATAATGGTGAACTATGGCGCAAAAAGCAAGACCATCAGCAAAATCACTTGTAAAATTTCGTATTTTCACTGACTAAAAATAGAAATAAACACGCATTCGAAATCTGCTATTCGTAGTTCTGTACTATAGCATACTTCATAATTTCTAGTGACATTTTGACACCATTTGATAAGACGTTCTTGTGCTTCTTTGTACGATGGACGTAGAGATGATGATGTCATCTATGCGTTTTAACTTCTAAAGTAGAAGAAAAAAGGTAATTGTGGTACCAATAGTCGATTCTAAATGGGAGAGTGAACAACGAAAGATAGGTGTGTCATTGAAGAGAATGGAAAGGAAAGAGAACTCGTTCTAGTAGGTGAACAATAGTATAGTGAATGAGTGACCTTTTTGTTTTATTCATTACTAAGAAATGGCTATACGTTATAATCATCAAATAAATACATTATTATTGTTCTTTCTAATGGTATAATCGTTTTATATGAAATATTTCCTTGCATTGTTCTACGTAAATCCGGAATCGGATGTCATTTGTATAAAAGACAAAAAAGAAACCCAAGAGATAGTGAAAGCAACGCATGAGAATGTTACATTCTATTGTCTACGAATAAATAAACAATCAGTGCAGTGCAGTCGGGGAAAAAAAGAACACACTGTTTTTTTGCTATTTCTAAAATGACAAGAATCTAAATTGATCAAAAGAAAAGATTCTTTCCCTGTTCGATTTAGATAATGTTAATGGTGAATTCAATCGTTGAATGAAAATTTTAATGTTTCGAAAGATTTCAACATTACTTTAACGTCTTTCTTCCTGTTATGATCTTTTTTTATTCGTCTACTTGTGTGTATTGACGTTAGTAAATAGAACAATGACAGTGTATATAATCGATTTCCGGTCTCGCTATAGGTGTAGTGAATTGCAAATAAATCCTTAATCTAGACGACAAGTAAAATAATGCTTTGTTTGTTTCACTATGCTTACGTTTGGATGTCAACATACCAAGCAAAAAAAATCATCCCTACTAATCGAAAGTAGACCAGTAAAGCACACATGGTATAATAAACAAAAATATGTCTATGATTAACCTTCAATAGATTCAATCTTTTTGTTAATCTTGATGAAGAATTGTGACAAATTCGATAGAGTTTAAATGTTCAAATCTAAAGCAAGAAGCTTAACTCTCATGAGAGTGGGAAAGCAAACGAAGTATAACGACTGATAAACACATATTTTCTGGCAAGGTGTTACAGAAAAATTAAAATAAAGAGTTTTGCGTACGATATGATTATGTTTTGCCTTGTAATTTTATTCAACCTTGAGACAACTATAATAGTCTATCTATAATAAATTCATTGATAATTGAAAAGAACAATACTTTTATATTATAGCTCACATGAGATTACCTATAATATTCAGAATAATGCGACGAAATGTAACATTATTCATCTATTGATACGACAAGTCATGAAACGGATAAGAACTTCTATAATTCATATTCATCTTAGAATGAGGGCGTGGGCGTGTAGACGTATTAATTATCGTAACGCACACTTCACGTATTTTGACACGACTTTATTTTATTGAACTATGTGAATACCGCATCCTCAATATACAAGCATCAGTTATAGCCACAAATAATCTATACATATTACTCACCCCTACCACCAATCTCCATTTAATTCGATATAGCATATGTTGAAAGAAATTTACTACACACAATTATGATACTACAGGTTACTGGCACTTCGGTCTTTATTAAAGCGAAGAGAGTTTCTTACAAAGAAGTAGAGTTTAATAATCGAAATGTTTACTTGACTTTTGCATAAAGAATCAATTGTAGCCACATGACTTCACCATTAACAGTTTCATCGAAACGATGGTAAGCATTATCCGCAAGCTTCCAATCTTCTGAAACTTCCGTTGGTGCTGCGTCAATCTTTGACTGCTTTAAACCTTTCCATCGCCACATACAATTATTAAAAGCACAAGTTACAGGTTCAACATATTTTGAACATTCAGGACATTTCGATATTTTATAACTTTCAGTCAAAAGATCGAATTCTCTTATTCCAATGTTTATAATTACTAGTTGTTCATGTGCTAGGCAAGATGGATTAGAACATTTGCCTTCAAGGCAAATTCCAGGTCGTGCAATACGCCAATTAGGAGCGCTAGAACTCCATTCAATTCGCTTAGGACTATTACCCTTAGTTAGGTCTATGAATGTCTTGCCAAACTTATTATGAACAGCTATCCGGTTAGCAAAGTAAGTATGTGGTGGAGTAGTACTTAAATTATAGACAAATGTTGCTGGTGCTTTAATAGTCTGTATACTTGTAATTTTTGTTGATAGAAGATTACCATCTATCAATCTGTAGACAGAATCAGAAGCACGTAAATTGTCAAGTGAAGAAAAATTACCATTTCCAACAAAAAATGGATGTTCACGTGTTGTATACAGTCGGTTTTCTCCTAGTTGTAATTCCACGTATTCATCGACTTCATGCTTAAAAATATCTTGAACAACTGTAGTAACAATCTCGCCAACGTTGGTAAATGCCAATAAACAATCACCTAATTCAACATCACTAATACGTATTTCACGTTGATCGGCACGTAGAATCAATGTTTCCGGTAGAAAACATTTGAAATGTTCTATTGTAAAAATTGTTGTTACAGATGTGATCAATGCTTTACAATTATTGAATTTTTCCTCGTCACTTAAATCCAATTCTTTTCCATGACATACAAAAGAATAAAGAAAACTTCTATTATTATAAATATTGTCAGCTGCTCTCTTAAAATCGTCTAGTGTAAAATCTTGTGGTAAGTTTGCTAGAATTGGTTGTTGATCATTCAATTGAAACTGAATAGATATTGATGTCATATTAACAGAAATCTTATGTCTATATCAAAGTATTTCGAATACAATATTCTCTGCTGCAAAACAACACAACCTATGCATGTTGGAAATTATTTATCATTTTAAAGGTTTTTTTCACTCTTATCTCGATAGTACTGAAATAAAAAACATTACTCTTTTCTTCTATTTGCTTAAATTACAGAAGTCCACTAGAGGACAACAGACATACACGTCATTTCACAATATCTTTATAAGTATTTGAAATTTATTTTAATGCTTAAAAAAAGAATCCAAGATGTTCTCTACGAATCTAACTCTGTATTATTACCTATTGAAGGCTATCAAAATGAACGACTAGTACCATTGGAAGAAGCAATTGTGCCACTCTTCACAATTTTCGATAGAAAAATACTTCAGAGGAATGTGTGGATTGCAAAAAAACGTTGCGAAAGCCCCGCTGATGGTTTATCACGAGATGAGTCGGCATCAATTACACTCTATACATTTGAATGGAATACGAATGAAAGTAGTTTTTATTTTATTTTGAATCAAACATTACGTATGGAAGACCGACAAAAACTCAAACCATGGTTTTTATATTTAAAACTATTTATTACTGCTCTTTCTCGACTTCCACCTATTGCTGACACTGCTTATCGAGGTATAAAAGCTGATTTGACAAATCAATATAAACCTAATAGCTATTCAGTTTGGTGGGGTGTGAGTTCATGTACTGATAATATTGAAATCTTACAGTCAGAGCAATTTTGTGGTAAGACCGGTACGCGGACAATATTTGTTATTAAATGTCTTAATGGTCGTTCTATTAGAAATCATTCATATTATCAACAAGAAAACGAAATCATATTAATGCCTGGTAGTTATTTTCAAGTGGATGGCTGTTACGATCCTTCTGATGAATTTCATATGGTACAACTTCGAGAAATAAAACCACCATATGATTCTGTCCCACGCGCTGATACCAATCAATGGCGTCAAACAACACCTGGCATATGTCTTGAAGGTATTTGTACCAATACAGATTGCATCGCGTATCAACAAGAAGTTATTATTCCTATTGGTTTCAGAAAATTTAACGTTCTTACTGATGCGACTGCATCGATATCTAAATGCCCACTATGTTCTACCTATAGCAAAGTTTCAAAGATAGGTTTTAGCCATTGTCAATGGCGCTATCGTGGCATTAAACAGCGCGTATCCGGTGAACAACCTATTAGCTGCATGGATGAATGGTGTGATATTGGTGAATACTCAATTTTCAAACATGAATCTCAAGAAACATATACTTGGCTTCAATTGATTATCGAGGCAAAACCAAAATGATAGTGTGTTTGTTGTTAATGTTTAAAAACAAATAAATAAATTCTAGCATATTTCTTTCTTGAAGAACTATTCTACTCAAACATTCGAATTTCTTGTGTGCGCTAGAATAACACAGTAAAAGAAATACACAAAATGTTTTAAAGTGTCATCCCTCCGTATTATTTACTGAAACAGATAAGACAGGTAGATAAAATAGCTTACAACATTTTCAGTTTGTGAAGCATATGCATGCAAATTGAATATGAGTTTTTTTTTACAGCTGTTGATACTGAAGCTATGCAAGACTTACCAACAATCTATATATAATATAACTTAACAATTTTGAATTACATCTTATTTTCTAGAAGTGGATAAATAAATAAATCTAAATAATGACCACTACTAAACGAGCTCTTGTTATTGGTAACAACACCTACGATGTGAATAAACTTACGCGCTGCAAAAATGACGCTGAAGATGTTGGTAATAAATTGCAAAGTGCTGGCTTTAAGGTCAGTCCTTACTTCAATTTAACCTATATGGGCATGGCACGTCAGATTAACGATTTTGTGGAAAAAATCAATGAGAATGATTTTGTTGTTTTCTTTTTCTCGGGTCATGGAACTGAATGGAGAGAGAAAAACTATCTCATCCCTATTGACAATAAAGATCTTGTTAAGACACCTAACCTACATCCAAATTGGGCTATTTGTGCTCAAAGGACACTCGATTCAATGAAGGAGCGAAAGCCGTTTGCAATCGTATTTCTACTCGACTGTTGTCGTGTTCGTGTTGAAGATGCCAAAGGTAATCCACCGCAATCGGACTCCACAAGTGCTACAATGATAAAAGGCGTAGCTGGTTCCTTAACAGTCTTTGCTTGTGGTTCTAATGAGATAGCCTTTGAAAGATCTAAAAACGACCGTAATAGTCTCTTCACTTATCATCTACTTCAACATATTGATGAACCAAATTTAAAAATTGAAGAAATGATGAGTCGTGTTTGTGATGGAGTGTACGAAGATAGCAATGGGCAATTATACACTTATCGATTATGTACATTAAGAACGTCAAAAATTTACTTCAACAACACAGAAACATCAAAAAAAGGAGGTAAGCTCTTTTTTTAGCATCAATCACTACGTAACATAGAATATTGTAAATGGTGATCCAAACTAACATAGTGTCAGTTTAAAATTTTCAAGTAAGACGAGAAGGATGTCAGCATCAATGAATCTTGCGTGTCAGATATGAGTCTACTTTAGGGTTTATATAAGTGAGTGAGGGTGTGGGTGTATATGAAAGAAGAGCACCCACACCCACACCCACACTCACACTCCCAGCTTCTGTAGTTAATGACAATGTGTAGATTCTTATCAAGCTGCGAAATCACGATGCCTATTGTGAGCATGCCAAGTTCTTCACGAATTTGCTTCGAGTATAACAGCTTTACAAGAAATGACAATTTTATTAGCGACTCGGATGTAAAAGGATCTTTAATGTCACACCGTTACGCTTGAACAAGCCGCATTCTATAGTAATGAAAAAATCATAAATACGAGCACTAAAACTTCATGTACTTTCAGAATATGTAATGTTGTGTTTAAAAAACAAAGTATATATATATATATATGATCCAACAGATAAATGAATGCACTTAGTAATTTGAAATTTAAATTAGTTGGAGTTTGAATGAAAGTTTAGACATCTAAAACTTTTTCTCATGTAAAAATTTTGTTCAAATTAAATTCAAATAAAAGAAAATTATTTGTTAAAAAAGAATTATTTATAGTGCAAATATTTCAAAGGATAATTTAAACCATTAGCCGTTTGGATATTTCTATTATTATTCATATGTTCTATTTACATGGTGTACTTTGAGCTATCATGCCATTTGTTATTAGGATTAATATCCTACATAATTATAGTAATGCATTACTACTTCTAACAACAACTTTCCCCTTGAAATATTAAACATCATACATAAATTTACTTTTTTTTGTGCATCAACAATCAATGACGTTTTTGAAAGAACATATGACATCATCGTTGAAATACATTTAGTTGAGCAAAAATTTTGGTTACATCTCTTTTAAATTGCCTCTGTAAAATAGCAGATGAAATTATGCATTAATAATAACATCAAGAAAAAGTCGCCAAATCGACTGATACACGCGTTCAAAATGATCAATAAACATTTCCACAACAACACAAAATTTTATTTATAGATTATAGTAATAAAAACATTCGATAAAATCTGTAAGAACAGTTCGATCTCATTTTGTATTAAATGAATCAATGGTAATAATGTAATAAATTGACGCATCTTTCTGAACACAACAAAATTTACATAAATCGATAGTGGACCCGTCGTTTTTAATATTCCTTTCATTTCTGATTGATTCGAGAAATTTTGAGATCCAATTTTAGTAAACTCATGTCTACAGAGACAGAGTGAGAGAGAAAGTGTTGGCGAGGGGGAGAGTCTTTCCCTTCTCCCTTTGCTATCTCTTATCTGTCTCTCTTTTTTCTTGAAGTATTCATGAAAAAGAAACTTATCTAAGAGTATATTCAAGAGAGATGAGCTCTTTTCAAACTACTTTCCATGTCTTCTTTTCTAATAATACTATGACTTCAGCACAGAGAGAGAGATCTCCTTTGATTCTTATGTTGTCTTTTCTAGTTAATATTCCTGCTAATGTCATAGAATAATTTATATAGAGTTTAATAAAAGATATTCTAGAACAAAGAAGTAAGAAATGTTCTATTTAGATTTAAGAGAACNGAACATAGAGGAAAGTAAATTTGATAGTGGCCGTTATTGATTGAAGAATTGTACCGTACACGCTTAGTTCTTATTGAAGCTAAAACAAGTGTTCTTTCTAGCAGTGCTAAATGTTTTTCAGTTAGTGTTGTCAGAAGAAGAATATTTGATAATTCAATATCAACGATAGATCAACACCAAAGTTGTTGAAGAAATGCAAAAAGAAATCAAATTAGTAATATTATTTGATAATGCAAATTAAGAATTTTACTTTAGCAGAAGGACAATCAAATGATAAATTGTTAATGAATAGATAAAACTTGAACACATTCATCAATTAATAGATCATTCTAAAATAATTCATCTGATTGAATCGGAAATAGAGTTTATTTTGTTTGAATACATTTAAGACAATCTACTTGAGACTGAATAAGTCCGTCTATAAAAATAAAATTACATACATACATATATGAGTGAATTACAACTGTTTGGTACGATTGAATTTTAGCTGTATTTTTTTCTCCTCAGCCTATTTGGACAATTTTTTTACAGGGTGATAGCCCCTAAGTGTCCCATTTTCATACAACAACTTCAGCCCTTTATCTCATACTATAGGTGACTCATGAAAGATACATTGCAAAAAGAAACCTCATTTTTTTAACATGCACCATTAAAGAGAATAATTTGACTGTAAGAAATTAAGAAGGAATAAATGCAAATATCAAAGTTTGTTCACCGTTCTATTGTAATATGTTATTGGTTTAAGTTTTATACATTATTCATTCACTGTCTAACGTTCATATAGTTTGACAGACACTTATGTATTTTTGTGTAGAGCTAGCGATTTTCAGACTGTAAGAAAAGAAAGATCGTTATACTTCGCTAGGTAGAGCGATATTTTTTTCTAAAAAAATTGTAGAGAGACGCTGTTTTTTTCAGATATTTTGCTTATACTTGATTTAGAAACAGTATTTTTAAGTATATCTTAACTCATTCATTAAAAAAATAACTGCAGATTCGTAATCTCGGTCGATTCCCGATTCTATAAACATATTATTAAAAACATTTTTGATGCAAAAAATGTTTTCGAGAAAATCGGTGAGGGGTCCCAAAGACAAAAAAAATTCAAAAATTTCTTTTACGTTCAAATATTTCTATTTCTATACTATAGTTGACACAACTTTCGACGAAGATCATGAATTTGCACTTATTTTTATGAAAATATATACATAATGAATAAAAATCGTGACATACAACCGCAATCTCGCATAAAATACAAGAAATTTGTTATTACCTATTAATTACACTAGTATATTTAATTTTTGATGCGCATTGTTTCGGTATATAACTCTCTGTGCTATCATTTATACTTCAAATTCAAGAGGGCAGTCATGATTTTTACAACATCCTATAGAAAAAGGTATATCTCCGTTAATAATGGCTACGGTGTTGAGAAACTTTTGCTACATAGCCATGGCGTAGAGTATAATTAAATGCACTATCCAACAATTGTCTAGCTTTTGTTTTTGTCAATCGTAACAAAAAGTTGCAATTCACTCATATAATTACATAGCAAAGATTTAATACCCCGTCAATTTCAATGTATCATTAGATTCTGTCTTAAGTCGATTTTCATAGATTAAAACTAATTGATGGAATATTTTTATTCTATTTTTATCGGTTGGATGATAAGATATAGATATGACAACACTAATCAAACCATTGATCATCGTTTTTAATGGTAAACTAAGAATACCTAGGAAAATTTTCAAAAAAAATACAAATAATTCTGATGTAAAATGAACAATTGTATTATTTGTTAATTGATATAGGACTGAACATTGTTGAAGTAAAATATGAATAATTAAATGAACAAGAATGATTTTTTTTTACGAAAAAGTTTTTGATCTATCATAATAATTTTCAGGAAAATAAGCAAGAAAATAAATTATTCTTCATTAACTCCAGTATATCATTATGAACTCCGATATTCGTTCTGAAAGAGTCACAATTGAATTTTAATAAAATGACAAGAAAAATACTATTCTTACTCTATTAAATGAAGATAAGTAAAAATTTAGAAATAAATTACATTTTATCTTCATTGACAATAATCGTCAGTAATTAGAAAAACATCGTCTGAGAATCTCTGAAATTTATGTTAAATCTTAAAAGTTACACATATAGTATTCATTATCAAATATGACAAACCATTTCAGTGCAATCGAAAAGACAAGGAACAACACATAAATCAATGATCTGTAAATTCATTACTTTGTCGAATATAATTCTAAAACTATTTGCAAAAAGTTTATCCCTTAAAAATTCTGATGATAGAAACCAAAATATTTTTTCAATAAATCTCAAAAAAATCTAGATGTAAAACATATAAGAGATTATGTTCAAGAAGTTTTTCATCTTGGCATGATAGTGGTGGAACTACTTTGTGAATTCTTTATTGTAAACTAATTTATTATGAGTATAAAAAGAAAAGCAATTGTAGTAAAAGTATTGCAATATTTATTTGATTTTTAATAATTTTGATGCAAGATGAAGAATTAATCGGCAATAATCTGAAATTATAGAATCGATTATCTGATTTCTGTGTCAAAATATTTAATTAAAACATCAAGTGAAAAATTCTTTTAAAATATAAATTACATTTTGAACTGTTTGTTGAATTCTTGCGTTAATTGATTAACTATAATTATCTATTAAAATAAATTCAATATAGAAACCAAAACATTACCTTCTCAAACGATTCTATTGTATGTAACAACGATTGTAAATTGTTGTTTAATTAATGAATGTAAGCGATAGAATAAAGAAGCGATCCATGTTTTTTTCCACATACATCCATTGTTCCATATAGATATTTAGTGTTAATCGATGTAATAATAGAAATCCAATATATCCAAATGATTGATGGTTGATCAACTTGA